AAAGGTGAAGTATTAAAGTTTGAAACTAATTTACATTTTTAAGGAATCCGAACTGGCTTTAAAAAAAAAAAAAAAAGGGAAAAACATTTATTGCACGTGCATGAGTTTTTAAGTAACAAGAGCTCATTAAAAATATAGGGGACACAATCTGTGATAAGCCCGAGTACAGACCACGTGGTTAAACACTAAAGTTTGAAATGGATCCTTTTAAGAAAAAATCTCTCAAAGTTCTGCATGTTCTGCAGGCTCTGAAAGTTGCAACAATAGAAATAGCTCATGAGACAATTGTAATTGGACATGGAAAAATATAACAAAGTTAAAATTACAGGCCTCCTGTGTTGTCTATATGTTTGTGTGTGTTATATGTTTGTGTATGTTATATGTTTGTGTATGTTATATGTTTGTGCGTCATGTCAAATACACTACGTTGACCTTAACAAACTGGACCAATATACTAACGTGGGGTGTTGTGAGTGTGATGTGAGTGAGGAGTGAAATGAGGAGTGAACGAGGAGTGCTGAACGGAATCATGGAATAACAAAAGTTTTCTGTAATGTTTTAATGTGATCATGGAATAATTATTTTTTGTCAACAGCATACGGTGTAAGTACTAGAGATTCAAAGATAACAAGCTTTATTGAACAGGTGTAAAAGTGAGAGTACTCTGGGATGAGTACTCTGAGAAAAGTACTCTGCGGAAAGTACTCTGAGATGAAATACCTTGCTGAAGGTACTGGGAGTCCCTCCCTCTGCTGTTTGTCCGGACAGTGATTCGGTCCAACCGCAGTGAACGGTCATTGGTTGGAGGACAACTTTGGTTTGTAACTCACATTTAGGGGAGTATAAAATTAGAAACATACATTTTGTTAAGTCTGTATTTGGCTACAGCCTCTGCCCTGATGTCACACACCGTCTGTCAATGCAGTTATGTTTTGCCCAATTGGATTGATTGACAGGCTGCACAATGCGAAGAGAGGGAAGTGGGCATTTCTTGTGTTCTAATGTTTGTTTTTCAGATGAAAGATAAACTGCACCTGCTTCAGGGATGACAGTAGTATGGATCATAAGGAAATGAGCCTCTACTTTGGCACCAAAGCCCACAATATGAATTGAGGACGATCCGGGAGGAACAACTGGAGAGGATTGGAACAGTAATCTACACACACACACAGATGCATGTTTTATACTTGGCCCACGACCAAGAGAGGGAGTATAGTAATGTTATTGTCATAGGTGGTCATGGTCCTTAACCTTCTAAATCATTAGAAAGAAGTGTAAAACATATATTTACAAGAACAAATAAATAATAGAAAGGGCAGCCTAAAAAAGCAAAATGGGAAAATTATTAAGTAATTTTCGGAGTTGTCAAAATGAAATAAAATTCTATATTTGTCCCATAGGGGGTCATTCTAAATTTAGTGTTGTGCAAATTCAAAAGGAGAAATAATAGCGCTTATAACATCAAACAGATCTACTCTTTAAGATAATAGATCATATAATAATAATAATAGAATAGAATGAAATAGTCTGGAGCTATAATGTCATTGGATTCGAGGAGCTATAGGTTGAAAGGTCGCTAAGAAGAGGTGTCAGAATAAACAATAGTAATAATAGTTAGACTAGTGAATAATCAAAATAGTTCTATTGTGGAAATAAGTATCAATAAGGTCAAATTGTTCTAATAACTAAAGTAAAAAGGAATCAAATGGAGTCAGATTTTAGATGTTTCTGTTTTCCACATCTGTAGGAACTAGTGCAGAGGTGTTTATAGAGAGTAGTATTAAAATGCAGACACAGAACGACAGGCTTTAACACAATTTTAAATCTAAAAATAGCTCAAATATAACATTGCTCTTGACGCAGCCTCTGAGCTGCTCCATTGGAGAACAGGTTAAATGTTATTGTTTATTACAAACAGCTGATGTATTCACACATATTAAGTTTGGGACAACTCTTTAAACAGTTATAAGCAGCGGACAGAAGCCATGAATGTGCTTTTGTTTATTGATTGACTGCGGAACCTTCCGCAGTCAACCATTGGTTTTGTATTTCTTTATTCCGTCATTTTTTTTGACACGTTTCACAGCTTTCACATTTTCAACAATTTCCACAAGTTATACATCAAAACGTTCCACATGTTTGGGAGATTATTGCTATTACTTTTGGGACTTCAGCGATTTCCGGTTTTTCCGCAATCGGACAAAAATCTGCATTGAGAATTCTGCAATGCATTTTAATAGGCCCATGCATTTTAATAGGACTTCAGCTCTTTCAGACATTTCTACAGTTTCAATGATTCAACAGTTTCAAGGATTCAACAGTTTCAAGGATTTCAGCAGTTTCAAGATTTCAAGAGTTTCAAGGACTTCAACAGTTTCAAGGACTTCAGCAGTTTCAAGGACTTCAGCAGTTTCAAGGACTTCAGCAGTTTCAAGGACTTCAGTGTAATCATGCAACCTAATAGGGATTTTTCCATGTAAACCAGTATAATGCAACTTAATAGGGTTTTTTCATGTAAACCAGTATAATGCAACTTAATAGGGTTTTTTTTTCATGTAAACCAGTATAATGCAACTTAATGGGGATTTTTCCATGTAAACCAGTATAATGCAACTTAATAGGGGTTTTTACATGTAAACCAGTATAATGCAACTTAATAGGGTTTTTTCCATGTAAACCAGTATAATGCAACTTAATAGGGTTTTTTTCCATGTAAACCAGTACAATGCAACTTAATAGGGATTTTTCCATTGTAAACCAGTATAATGCAACTTAATGGGGATTTTTTCCATGTAAACCAGTATAATGCAACTTAATGGGGATTTTTCCATGTAAACCAGTATTATGCAACTTAATAGGGATTTTTCCATGTAAACCAGTATAAATGCAACTTAATAGGGATTTTTCCATGTAAACCAGTATAATGCAACTTAATGGGGATTTTTCCATGTAAACCAGTATTATGCAACTTAATAGGGATTTTTCCATGTAAACCAGTATAATGCAACTTAATAGGGTTTTTTTCATGTAAACCAGTATAATCAACTTAATAGGGTTTTTACATGTAAACCAGTATAATGGAACTTAATAGGGGTTTTTACATGTAAACCAGTATAATGGGAACTTAATAGGGGTTTTTTACATGTAAACCAGTATAATGCAACTTAATAAGGATTTTTACATGTAAACCACTATAATGTAAACCTAATAGGGGTTTTTACATGTAAACCAGTAATAAAGCAACTTAATAGGGATTTGTACATGTAAACCAGTATAATGCAACCTAATAGGGATTTTTCCATGTAAACCAGTATAATGCAACTTAATAGGGATTTTTTCCATGTAAACCAGTATAAATGCAACTTAATAGGGATTTTTCCATGTAAACCAGTATAATGCAACTTAATAGGGATTTTTCCATGTAAACCAGTATAATGCAACTTAATAGGGATTTTTCCATGTAAACCAGTATAATGCAACTTAATAGGGTTTTTACATGTAAACCAGTATAATGCAACTTAATAGGGATTTTTCCATGTAAACCAGTATAATGCAACTTAATAGGGATTTTTCCATGTAAACCAGTATAATGCAACTTAATAGGGTTTTTACATGTAAACCAGTATAATGCAACTTAATAGGGTTTTTTTCATGTAAACCAGTATAATGCAACTTAATGGGGATTTTTCCATGTAAACCAGTACAATGCAACTTAATAGGGATTTTTCCATGTAAACCAGTATAATGCAACTTAATAGGGTTTTTTCATGTAAACCAGTATAATGCAACTTAATGGAGATTTTTTCCATGTAAACCAGTATTATGCAACTTAATAGGGATTTTTCCATGTAAACCAGTATAATGCAACTTAATAGGGATTTTTCCATGTAAACCAGTATAATGCAACTTAATAGGGATTTTTTTCATGTAAACCAGTATAATGCAACTTAATGGGGATTTTTTCCATGTAAACCAGTATAATGCAACTTAATAGGGTTTTTTTTACATGTAAACCAGTATAATGGAACTTAATAGGGGTTTTTCCATGTAAACCAGTACAATGCAACTTAATAGGGATTTTTCCATGTAAACCAGTATAATGCAACTTAATAGGGTTTTTTTCATGTAAACCAGTATAATGCAACTTAATAGGGTTTTTTTCATGTAAACCAGTATAATGCAACTTAATGTGGATTTTTCCATGTAAACCAGTATAATGCAACTTAATAGGGATTTTTCCATGTAAACCAGTATTAATGCAACTTAATAGGGTTTTTTTCATGTAAACCAGTATAATGCAACTTAATAGGGATTTTTCCATGTAAACCAGTATAATGCAACTTAATGGGGATTTTTCCATGTAAACCAGTATAATGGAACTTAATAGGGGTTTTTACATGTAAACCAGTATAATGCAACTTAATAGGGATTTTTCCATGTAAACCAGTATAATGCAACTTAATAGGGTTTTTTTTCATGTAAACCAATATAATGCAACTTAATAGGGTTTTTTTTTCATGTAAACCAGTATAATGGCAACTTAATGGGGATTTTTCCATGTAAACCAGTATAATGCAACTTAATAGGGTTTTTTACATGTAAACCAGTATAATGCAACTTAATAGGGATTTTTTCCATGTAAACCAGTATAATGCAACTTAATAGGGTTTTTTCATGTAAACCTGCAACTTAATGGGGATTTTTCCTGTAAACCAGTATTAGCTTAATAGGGATTTTTCCATGTAAACCAGTATAATGCAACTTAATAGGGTTTTTTCATGTGAAAACCAGTAAAATGCAACTTAATAGGGTTTTTTTTCATGTAAACCAGTATAATGCAACTTAATGGGGGGATTTTCCCATGTAAACCAGTATAATGCCACTTAATAGGGTTTTTTTTTTTTACATATAAACTAGTATAATGGAACTTAATAGGGGTTTTTCCATGTAAACCAGTATAAATGCAACTTAATAGGGATTTTTCCATGTTACAATGCAACTTAAAATAGGGATTTTTTATCCAGGCACATGAACAACTTCTGAATCGTTTCGAACGTGTATTTCAGTTCCTTTGGGTACGCCATGTTCAGGGCATACACAAGACCGAACAGGAGTGCAACTGCTGTCGGCAGGTCACTTACTTCATCAATGACTATCTGTTCCTCAAGCACCACAGTAAAGAACCTCGCGTTTGGGATTGAGTCAACAGTCCCAACATCATCCTCAACAATGATTAACACTCCCATCTTCATGCCACCAACATGATTTTCTCGAGGCTGCATGTCCTGTTTGAAAAAAAGTCAAATTTAGCATCAACAGTTAATAAAACAGTATGGTTCTAGTAGTTTGCATGAATATGTCCTTTTTCCTTTTCTCTTTGAAAAAGCTTCAAAAAGTCACTCACAGGGCATGTGTAAAATATGTAATGTTTTGTAATAAACACATGTCATCTTAATCTTATTAACATAGACAGCATGTTGTAGTTATATATTTTCCCCCAAAATGTTAATTTAGGTTTCAATAGGGATAAATAACACGTATTTAGGAAACAAAAATATAGGTACCCCAGCTTTAAATAGTAGCCCTCTTGTGACATAATTACAAACAGATTTTGCAAATAAACATTGGGCCATCAACCCCAATCTCAAATTGGCTACTTGCACAACTCCCATAATACTTTGCGCTCTTGAGGGGGTAGCGCCCATATAGCTCCCATGAAGTTGTGTGGAAACTGATTTTAATTTTCATAACAACATTCAAAAATAAAAAGTTAGTTTACCGTTAGAAAATAAAAAAAACTTGCTATTGGCAAAACTAGTTTGGAACTGTAATATTCTGAAGAATGCCCTGGGATCAGAGCCTCAGAGAGACACCCCTCTGCTTATACCGGGCTTTGGTGCGCAGAGTGGGGTTCTGTGGAGAACAGCCCGGCTTTAGTGGACTCTGCTCTGCTGGATGTTGTCTTTGAAAACAATCAACGCACTGGATTAGGATTTATTTATTGTCATTTATTAATGAAGATTATAGACCTACATCCATATTTGTGGGACTGGATTTACGCCCGAAGGGCAAGTACCATTTATATTTTACTTGCCCAATGTCAAAAGTTGCTTAACCAAATATTTCTCAATACAATGAGTTAACAAGAGTTTGGCAATAAAGTGGCACTAACTGTGTGAAAAAAAATATAAAAAAAAATCTACTCTCAGCCTAAAAAGTCAAATAATGACTCCCAGGGCTCTTAAGTATGCAAAATAAAAAACAAGACGCCTGTCGTGGTGTGTTCCGTTTGATTTGTTCACAAAATTTTCCTTTTGTGGCCAACCAACATGCATTTTTAATGCAAGCTTTAATTTCGTGCGTTTTGGTTGCGCATAGGTAGGAGACCAGCACTTGCAACAAGCTGGGGATGGTCCTGAACGCGTGTCTATGGTTCTGTCCGCGTGACTCTATGGTTCTGTCTGCACTTCTATGGTCCGCGCTCATAGAAGTATTCAAAGCGGCTGTCATTACAAAGCGGCAGTAGCTGCTCCCGGGGTCAGAACGGAGGATGCAAATATTGTTCGAGTACGTACAGCAAACAACAGAAAGTGCCCGCGGTCACACATTTCACAGAAGTAAGTAGTAGTAGTAAGTAATCTTATTTATATACCGCCTTTTCACTGCAGATCTGAGTCTCAAAGCGGTTTACAATTGTTAATTATGGGCATTTGTCTCACTCCACACAGAGATGGGAGCGGGGTCGCCGGTACAGGAGGCGCATGCCAGACATGCCTATTGTACATATTTTTAGTGGTAGGGGAAACCGGAGTACCCGGAGGAAACCTACGCAGACACAGGGAGAACATGCAAACTGAAATGACATTGTCAGCGGAAAACAGTTGGGAATTGCGGATCCTTAGGAAATTTTGAAGATAATTGATCAAAAAAGAAATGCGGCAATGCATTCCCGCATTGAATGGGTTAAAGTAATACTTACTTCACTTGCCCCATCGGGCAACTTGCAAAAACAGCGCACTTGCCCGTCCCAAATCTTTAGTTGCCCCGGGCAAGCGGACAACCGTTAATGTCGAGCCCTGGTTTTATCATAATTTGAAGGCGAGTGATCGCTACTTACAAACTACTTTAGAAAAGCTTGTTTCTAACGTTTGAAGAAACAAATTTAAAATACCGCAAACCATGAGTATTTACAATCTTAATTCAGTAAGAAAAGAAATGTATTATACCTTGGCCCATTTTTGCATGATTAGTGTTTCTCTGATGTAAATAAGTCATAAAAAAGTATTACTCACCAGACAGGTTCTCAGGAAACTTTTAGACTCATCCCTCATGATCAACGGCAGACCTCTAAGAGCAGCAGATTTTCGGTGGGCAAGTACTTCTGTGGTCTGAAAAACATAAAATTCTAAATATCAAAAGGACCTGTGGACTATGAGTGGGATACTGTACTGTGTTCTTTGAAAAACCCAAAACAGATTCATCTGAACTTTTACCTAAAATCTATTTTAACACAAATTAAGTGCAAGCCTGATGCGATCTGCACTTTGTGCCATGGTGGGATACTGGGACCTTCTTGCACATTCTCTGAGAGTGTCCTGGTGTGGCTCAGGTCTGGGAGATGGTGGCCTCTGAACTGTCCTCCAGTAGTGCCCTGCTCTACCCTGGTGCTCCTCCTGAATCTCTTGGCTTGGACATTGTGTATTTGGAACGGTGTGCGGCGAGGGTACATGGTACTAAAAAAAAGGAACAATGCTGTGTGTGTAAAGAAAATGTCAAAGGATAGTCACCTGATCGTCAAGATTCTCCAACAGGGTCTTCATATCTTTTCCCCACAGCGCAGCGCGTGCCCTGTACAACCTGATAATCTTAGGCGCATACTCATCCAAAGATGAGAAGAATCGGTTCATCAGGTGGGTTTGTGTGATCCGGAAAAATTCAGCAGAAATCTAAAGAGAAAAAACAAAAAGAAAATTACTTTCAGATTACTACCAGTAAGTATTTACTTATTACTACCAGTAATAACTCACCTGTTCAGGCAAAAACAATGCGGGCCATTTCTCTGGACATCCAAGACAAGAGGCTCTTCCATCACAATCTCTTTTCTTCTGAGGGAAAAAGTAATCTCCATCTTGGACTCCACAAATGCCATATTTGGATATTTTTTTCTCATTTCTTCACAGAGTGCCTCTTTTTCTTTTAGGAGAGATGAGTCTGACTGTCCATTTGGGTTGTCTGGGAGAAAGTTGGCCTCACATCGCTTGGCTTTCTTAAAACATCTCGAGTCACTCCCCACACTCCTCGGTCTTTTCCTATTTACAGATACCTCTGAACATCCAGCTGATCGCAACTTTTCACGGAAGTTGCCCATTTTAAACTTAATGCTCATAGTCCAGCTATTATAGCCACTTCCTGGGCCTGGATCTTTCAGACAAGGATATTTTGCTATCAAAGCAGCAGCCACAAACTCGATCTGCTTTATACTTGGATAGGCAGTGAATGTAAACATTTTCTGGGCCAGAGAATTGAGTATTTCAATCTTCATCTCTCTTGACATTGTGAGGAGAAGCTTTCCATTTTCTTCAAATTCCTTATTTGCTCTATTGAGACGTAGTTCTACATCATAAGCAAACTCCGGAATCTCAAATTCAGGTGGCCACTGTGAATTTCCCCGTTGCTTGACTGACACACTTGGTGAATTTTGCGCTGAGCTGCTTGAAGAGGAGGGCATGCTGGCTGTGTCTAAAGAGGAAATTGTGTCGGCATCTGAATCAGAGAACTTCTGGATGATCTTCAGCACAGCTCTATCACTTGGAAGTTGTGTTATTTCAGTTAAATTACAGAGCTCATTTCCAAAGTCTGGATCCTCAAATTGAATTACAAAGTCATTTTTTATTTCAACACCTTCCTTAAGGATTTCTTTCAATTGTTCAACTGAAGTGAGCTCTTCGGTAATATCCAGTCTTCTGATGTTGTCAAGGGCCAAAATCACGCGTAGACGCACCATCTTCAAAAACAGAAAACAGAACAGTTTAACAAAAAAAAAAAAAAAAAAAAAAGTAAAGCCAACATTTTTAAACTGAAAGAAACCTCTTCACTGCAATCATGTTCTTTCCCTGAACTACGTACAGTGGGAGTGGATGAAAATCATTCAAGTCTTCCAGCTCTAGGACTTCAGCTGCATTCATTTCACCAACAGCATAACATCTGTAGTGCTCATCGTAGCATGAAGAAAGCCTCTTGCAAAGAAAAGACGCCATGTTTGCATTCACAATAACAGTGACAATTTCAAAAAATTCAGGCAATCCGCCTAACTGACCAGAGGACAAAATCATGCCTTTACTGAAGTGAATCCCATGAACATCTACATCAGATGCAAGCATCAGCACCTCTTTGTTGGGATATTTTCTCTTGACTGCAGCCCCATAAGTTTCCTGTAAAGTACATGTTCTCACAGTTTTTACTTTTTGCACAGATAGTGGTGGTGAAAAGATACTGGGACCATTGAGATAATGTGCAATCATAAGCTGATGTTTGGATGCCAATGTAAGTGGAATGTTTTTTAAAATTACGGGCATCTTTCACAACCCCTTTGAAATAGCTATGTTTCGCTTCAAATCTCATTGTCCAAAGCTCAACCAAGGGCCCAAAACAGCGGATCAAGTGTGGATAATGCTCCACAAAGTGATGCTTTGGTTTCAACTTCAGGTTGGGAAATGTCTGTTGAAGAAGTTGCCGGTGTTCCAAAATCTTTCGCTGTAGATAACAAAGGGTTTCTTCTGAGAACTTTGAAGACATGACCAACTCCACTATCTCTCTCAAGTCCATCAAAATGTCCCAAGCAGGTTCAGAATGGGGTACAAAATGACCAATGAGCAATGGGAGTAAGCGCAGTAAGGCCCAATTTTCATGACCATTTCCCCCTATAGTTGTTTTGGCAAGGCTCACCTGGGAAATCGCTTTGGGTTTGTTGACTTTGTCACAGTCCTTGTATGGAAAGGATTTAATACGCCTATTGAGCGTGTTGAGATCAAAGTGTGCTTTTTTGATGAGCTCCTTCAAACACACAGATAACTCAAATGGAACAATCCCTTCTAACGTGTCATGCAAGACATCAGGTGGAAACCCAGTTACAGGGTGAAAGAAAGAAAGCTGCTTACTGAGGACACATTCTCTTTTGACACCAATTCTGGACTGAAGTTCAGGATCATTTTCCAGTTCATTTGTAATAGTGTTGTGCTGGCTAATGGTTCGAAGTGGAAAACATGTAGCATCATTAGCTTGTATATCTTTTTTGCTCACTTGGCAGAACCTACACAAGTACTCTGCTTGAAAGCTTTCTTGAAAACCAGCAAGACCATGTGCACCCAAATTGTCAGCACACACACAATACACTGTACCTTTTAGAGAAGTCTTGAGTACTTCAACAAATACACCTTGCTTCTCCAGTCTATTCAAGTCTTTTAGTAAAGGATCAAAGAATTTGTCGTGACCAAACTGTTTGATGTCAATGCTTTTTCCCAAAAGAGCTAGTTGGATAAGAGGAAGGGTAGAGCGGAACTTGGCTGGCAAATTTAGAAGAACCCAGTAAACGGCTGTAATTTTGTGGATCTTTTTTGAAGTTCCAAGGGGGTTACAGACTTCAAACTCATCAATGTAGAGGGACACAGAAATGCACTCATTTTGGACACCTAAAAGTTGATTCTCTCTGTGATATTGTCCACTCCGAGTAGATGTAAATTGGCCTGGCAAGTCTTCAACAAAAATGGCCTTTTCGAAAACATCAGGTCGATTGAGTAAAATTTCAAGAACTTTCAATATTGGAACATAAGCAAAAGAATTTGCTTGAAGTCTATCAAAACAATACTCCACAGGATCTACAACTTGGAAATTCTCTTTAAAGTAATTGTTTCTCTTGTGTTCTGTTGAGAGAGAGCCCTTGTCTGAGGTAGCTGTAAAAAATGGATTTGTTTTAAGTGCCTCAGTTGATATCAATTCAGCCAGCTCTTCTGTCAATCTCTCATCAATGTGACATTCATTTTTTTAAAAGAATAGCCTTTATTGACTGCTTTGATGCATACTGTGAACATGAAACAATATCATGGATCCAATGTAATATTTCCTGAGTTGCCCTTTTAGAAACATGCAATATTGTCTGCATGTAAAGAATCAGTGAGGCCAGCTTGGCCTCAAGTTCCAAATAACTTGTGGGCTCTGAGTAAGTGGCAGTTTCAGGTACATTGCTCTCAGCAACACAGGACTGTGATTCAGGTATCTGTACTTGACTGGTGCCTTGTAATTGCGATTGTGTCTCTGTACTTTCTGAACGTGGAGTTTGAGATGTCACTCTAGTACTGAAATTGTCAAATCCATAAGACTTGTGTTTGCGTGACATGTGGCTGCTAAACGAACTAAGAACATTGGTTTTCAGGTTACAGTCCTTGAATGGGCATTGGACTGTGTCACAACTCTTCAAATGATTTCGTAAATGTTTTACAAAGTCCAATGGCTGGCAGTCATTTTTGAAATCACATAAATCACATTTAAAATGGAAGTTCCCAACATCTGAAATGGCCGCCTTATGCGCCCTGCTAAGATGAGATTTTAACGCACCTTTTGTTTTAAATGTGCAGACGCAATCCGTATACACACAGGGTTGCTGCCAGGATCGACCTTGATAGTGATGTAGCCTGTAATGTTTCAGAAGGACGTCCAGAGCACTGTGGTCAAATGTGCACAGCTTGCAATGCATTACAACCTGAAAAATATAAAAAAATACGAATTATTCACAATTTTGTAGAGTAGAAAATAAGATAATTATCTATAAAATGTATACGTATTATTTATTTATTTATCTGAAATGGCACAGTAAAAATTTACAAACAATGAACCAAGCCTCAATGTAATGGGTCAGTTAGCATAATAGATAAATATGCATTACCTAAGCAAAGGACTGTAAAATAATAATATTTATTTATAAATATCCATCCATCCATCCATTTTCTTCCCCTTAATCCATTTCTGGGTCAGGGGGGTTGCAGTCAGAGCTGCACCCAGTTCACATAGCACCAGCCCCTCACTGATCCTCCTGCAGGTGGTGAGTCCACAGGAGCCTTGATCTTTCAGCAAGGGCTTCAGGCAAAGTAGGGTTAAGTGTCTTGCCCAAGGACACAACGACAGCAGTCATCAGTGGGAATCGTGAAGTAGGTCTTGTGGTGGGCTCGAACTCACAACCTTCAGGCTCTAAGGCCAATGCTCTACCAACTGAGCCACTGTCGCCTTATTATTTATAAATAATATTGTCTAAAACAATGGTCAAATCACAAACCTGTACAGTATATATATATATACATTTCAGTTAACTGTAAAATAGTCATTGCATTAAATCACCAATGTATATATAATGCAATATTTATCTTTTGTAATAACCCATTCCAAATAGCCTTCCACACAGACATTTTAGTGTCCTTCAAACACAATCTTATTTTATAATATAAAGCCACGTATGTAAATGTATATGTAAAATAATATGTTCAGAAAAACACATGCAGGGATCAAAGTTAAGACTTTTCTGTGGCGTGTTTGTCCACTACTTATCGCGCACATGAGAAAGCAACAGGTCTCTGACTGGCGCTGAGAGCATCTGTGTGCGAGAGAGTGCGTGCACGTCAGTGTGTGTGTATGCAGGGGCGCGCGGGCGCCACGTGAACAAGCAGAAGCCCTATACTGAGCGTGATCGCGGACAGGTGGCTTTATCCGTGCGTAAAAGGGGCCTTTACCTCGGACTCGTCACGTTTGGCAGCGCGGATGATGTGCTCAGAGCTCAAACAGTAAGTGTGCAGCTCTGGGTGCGCTGACGCCGCGATAGTTAATGCCAAAGCGAAATCGAAACTGTTGCTGCTCCGTGAAAAATGGCCACGGCACGCACGGGGAACGAGTGTCAAAAGCACACGACATCATTACACTAATCAATTGTTGTAACAGACCTATTCGAGACGTGCATAGAATCACACAGCCTAATGAGAGTCCACTTGAACATGTTGAAAACTATAATGGCGCCGACCGAGGGAGGCTCATACATCGCTCGATTTAATACAAATATACACAATCCAGACTTTCACAGCAGATTCACGTACATTAAGTTTTCAGACGTCGAAACCAGATCGTTTATTACATGAGGGGAGGACAAATTACGGAGGCTTACTACTTGCAATAGTACAAGTAGCAATGATAATAGTAGCAAAAGTAACGAGCCATACTACTCTAAGAATTTTGAAAAAGCGTGGGTGATTCGGAGAACCAAGCGATGTAAACGCATATTAGGTCATTTGACAGAAAACCGTGTTTCAGAAGAAATGTTCCTTACCTGGGAGATAGGGTGGGTAGAGTTCAATGGCTGCTTCTCTCAGGCACATGGTGGTGTGGTGGGGCGGAGCTTGTGGAAACTGCAGGGGCGGAAACCCCCTACAATTTACTTAAAGCGCAAGCGCGAACAAATAGCGGTCAAGGATTGGTATGAGAAATTGCCAAAATAATTTATCTCAACTTTTCGTTTTGCAGTCACTGAACAAAGCAACAAATTAACAATGATTAATTGCGTTTGTGAGTTGACTAAGCATTTAACAGGGTTTGAACATTCACTGCACTTATATTTCTAAGTTCAGATAACAAATAGCAAGTTGGGTTTTTTACAGTGCACCAGATATGTATCTGTTATGTAAAAATATAGAAATGAATGTTTCTCCATTATGTTTCTTATTGTGTCACTACATTATAGATGTATCTTACTATGGTATGGATTTGCATTCATAATTTTTTCCCCTGTTTAAGATCAGGTTCGTAATTTTTCTTCTAGTGTGGAGTTTGCTTGTTCTCTCCATGTTAACTCCAGCTAACTTATGTTCAAATTGGCCTCTTATGTATTGAAGCTAACACTATGGTGATGTCACACTCGGCCAGTCCTCTCCTAACTCACAGTCTATGGTTGTATTTTTGTTATGTCATAATAATTGGTTATTTTGATTAAATGTGACAAACATCAATCAATCAATTAGAATACAACAAATATTCACAGTAAACACTGATTATTGCCTTCTACTCTTTGTGATGATTTCAATAAATATAAATCTATAAAGAGTGCATGTCTTTGATGTTTTAATGTACATACATCAAACAGTTCCCCCTGATCCTGGTCTTGGTCTTTCATTAGAGCCACAATCCATATCCTTTGCCTCACTTTTTCCCGCTAGGTGTCAGAGTGGTTCTTTTCCGGTTCAGGAGAGTCTAAGGTCAGTAATGATATGCATGGGACATTTATGGACATTTTTTAACATTGGCGCCATGTCTGTTATTATTATATCCTGGGTTAGAACTTTTTGATTCTCTGACTTGTGTTTGGTGAATCCTCAACGATACACAAATACATTGAAGGCTCGCATCATTGGGGCAGCCTTTCAGATGATGCGCTGCGTGGATGGATGATTGACAGATGCACCTGCTCCACGCACCCCCTCCCACTCTCATCCTCACGCCGTGACGTCACCCCGCAGCAGAGAGAGGCGCGGCTTGGTTACGTACACTGCGGCTGGCCGGTGCGTGGATTGAGTGTTCCTGATACAGACCCAGATCACAGCCCGGCCTCACACCAGCCTCACACCGGCCTCTCACCAGCCTCACACCGGCCTCATACCAGCTTTACGGGGGCCTCTCTCGGGAATCACCACGGCGTGGACAGAGGCTCAGGAAGAGACAAGAGAGAGACCCAGACGTCAGCACTGCTTCAACCCAGTTCCAGAGAACAGAGGGACCAGAGGGACCAGAGGGACCTGCTGCGTGTGTCCAGAGCATCCTCCCTCTTCTGAGATGACGTCAGCGCAGCACGCGGCAGGGACGGGACCATAGCACTTGTGTAGTGTTGTTTGGAGCATTGTGGTCCTGGTCCTGGTCCTGGTCCTGGTCTGAACTCATCTTTCGTATTTAAACAGAACGTGCACGCGGACATGAGCACGGACGACAGCTCCGTGCGCGTGGCCATCAGGTGATACAGGCACACGTCCCCTCTTTTAGTCCTGTTTTAGTCCTGCCTCAGACCTGCTTTAGTCCTGTTTTAGTCCTGCCTTAGACCTGCTTTAGGCCTGTTTTATACCTGCTTTTAGTCCTGTTTTAGTCCTGCCTTAGACCTGCCTTAGGCCTGCTTTATACCTGCTTTATACCTGCTTTAGTCCTGCTTTTGTTCTGCCTTAGACCTATTTAGACCTGCTTTGTACCTGCTTTAGACCTGCATTAATCTTGCTTTAGACCTGATTAGACCTGCTTTAGTCCTGCTTTAGTCCTGCTTTTGTTCTGCCTTAGACCTATTTAGACCTGCTTTATACCTGCTTTAGACCTGCATTAATCTCGCTTTAGACCTGATTAGACCTGCTTTAGTCCTGCTTTAGTCCTGTTTTGTCCTGCCTTAGACCTATTTAGACCTGCTTTATACCTGCTTTAGACCTGCATTAATCCTGTTTTAGACCTGCTTTGGATCCTCGACCTGCTTTAAATCTGTTTAGTCCTGCTTTAGACCTGCTTCAGACCTGCTTTAGTCCTTCTTTAGTCCTGTATTTGTCCTACTTTAGACCTGCTTCAGTCCTCTCTTAGACTGGATCATCTCCTGTCCCTCTCCTTCACATCGATCGGTGTCAGTCTCATTTCTGCAAACTCCCTCTGAGTCAAACTGAGACACAGTGACGCACTCAGCCAATCAGCTCTCAGCCCAAAGAGTCAAACAGTGACTCATAGGGTTCTCTTACTAAAAAAAGACCCCAGCTTTAATGTGGTTTTCATGAAAATAAAGTTACGTTCCCTAGCTTTAAAGGCGTGTCGTTTACATCATGTTTTAATCCTGTGGTGGCTGCAGATCTATAATCCTCTTTAAAGCACGTATTCAGATTATGAGAGAAATGCAGAAAACAGTTTAAAGTCCTCACAGAAAACACATGAACTTCAGCAAACTTTAATTCAGTTCAATTTATTTGTGTATTGCCCTAAATAACAACAGTAGTCGTCTTGGAGGGCTTTAAAAAGTTGTCGATTAGCCGACAACAGATCAGAGAATCAAACAGTTCAAACACAAAAAATGTAACGATAACAAACACATAGCAGCCGTTGGTCCTGTGTGCGGGAGGACCGAGACCAGGACCAGGACCAAGACCAGGACCAAGACCAGGACCAAGACCAGGACAAGGACAAGGACCAGGACCAAGACCAGGACCAAAACCAGAACCAAGACCGGGACCAGGACAAGACCAGGACCAAGACCATGACCAGGACATGCATGTGGAAAGCTTTAATGTTACGTACCCCAGCTTTAAATAATTGATCTTTGCATGTGGTCTCAGTCCATCCTTGACCCCAGACTGGACCGTAGGCCCAGACCATGATCTCTGGTGCTCCTCATGACTCTGGCTTTAATGAGATCAACATTACGTTTAACAAGATTAGGTCCGACTTCATTTGATCCAGGCTCAGTCTGGATCTGAGTCTGGTCCCACAAGACTCAGCATCCTGGTCTTCCCACTCCCCAGACACCTCCCTTGTGATCTGAATATATTGCTCAGTCCTGGTTCAGTTTTGGTTCAGACCTGGTCTTGTCCTTGTGCAGGCTTGTTTTCGACCTGGTCCAGTCCTGGTTAAGACCTGAGGTAGACCTGGTTCATTCTTGGCCCAGTACTGGTGTTATTCTGGTTTAGACCTGTTTTAGTCCTGGTTCAGTCCTTGTCCAGTCCTGGATTAGACCTGGTTCTGTCCTGGTCCAGTCCTGCTCGCTGAATGTGGAGCAGTTATTTTAAAGCAGTTCTAATATATCAAGTCCACATTTAGACCTGGTCTCTCTCGTCTCTCTCTGGTCTCACTCGGGTCTCACCCTGGTCTCTCCCTGGTCTCTCTCTCTCTTGTCTCTTTCTGGCTGGTCTATTTCTGATTTCTCTCTCTGGTCTTTCTCTCTGGACTCTCTTTGGTCTCTCTCTCTTTTCTCTCTCTTTTTCTCCTATAATGACTCGGCCTCTCTGATCCAGGGTACGGCCGCAGCTGCCTCGCGAGCGCCTGGATGGCTGCCACGTCTGCACCTCGATCACACCTGGAGAGCCTCAGCTGGTCCTGGGCTCAGACCGGGCCTTCACATTTGACCACGTCCTGGACCAGGACTGCAGCCAAGACCAGGTCTACAACAGCGTCACGGCGCGACTGGTGGAGGGCTGTCTGCAGGGCTACAACGCCACAGTGCTAGCATACGGACAGGTGAGGAGCTAGCACACGGACAGGTGAGGAGCTAGCATACGGACAGGTGAGGAGCTAGCATACGGACAGGTGAGGAGCTAGCACACGGACAGGTGAGGAGCTAGCATACGGACAGGTGAGGAGCTAGCATACGGACAGGTGAGGAGCTAGCATACGGACAGGTGAGGAGCTAGCACACGGACAGGTGAGGAGCTAGCATACGGACAGGTGAGGAGCTAGCATACGGACAGGTGAGGAGCTAGCATACGGACAGGTGAGGAGCTAGCATACGGACAGGTGAGGAGCTAGCACACGGACAGGTGAGGAGCTAGCATACGGACAGGTGAGGAGCTAGCATACGGACAGGTGAGGAGCTAGCATACGGACAGTGAGGAGAGCTAGCATATGGACAGTTGAGGAGCTACTGTAGCATACGGACAGGTGAGGAGCTAGCACACGGGCTGGTGATGAGCTAGCATACGGACAGAGGAGGAGCTAGCATAGGGACAGATGAGGAGCTAGCATACGGACAGGTGATGAGCTAGCATACGGACAGGTGAGGAGCTAGCATACGGACAGGTGAGGAGCTAGCATACGGACAGGTGAGGAGCTAGCATACGGACAGGTGAGGAGCTAGCATACGGACAGGTGAGGAGCTAGCATACGGACAGGTGAGGAGCTAGCATACGGACAGAGGAGGAGCTAGCATACGGACAGGTGATGAGCTAGCATACGGACAGAGGAGGAGCTAGCATACGGACAGGTGAGGAGCTAGCATACGGACAGGTGAGGAGCTAGCATACGGACAGAGGAGGAGCTAGCATACGGACAGAGGAGGAGCTAGCATACGGACAGATGAGGAAAAATACAGATTAATATCTCTCAGGTCTCTATCTGGTCTCTCTGGTCTTTCAGGTCTCACTCCTTTGGTTGGTCTTGCGTTTCTCTCTCTGATCCCTAGACTCTGGTCTCTCTGTGGTCTCTCTGGACTCTGGTCTGTCTGGTTTCTCTCTGGTCTTTCTCTCCGGACTCTGGTCTCTCACTCTGGTTACTCTGGTCCCCCTCAGACTGGCTCGGGTAAGACCTTCACCATGGGGACTGGATTTGAAGTCAGCGTTCTGGAGGAGGACCAGGGCATCGTCCCCAGAGCTGTCCATCATCTGTTCACCTCCATCGAGAAGAAGAAGAAGTCTGCGGCTGAAGAGGGACGACCCGCGCCAGAGTTCAAGACCACTGCCCAGTTCATAGAGGTGAGTCCAGGACCACTACCCAGTCCATAGAGGTGAGTCCAGGACCACTGCCCAGTTCATAGAAGTGAGTCCAGGACCACTGCCCAGTTCATAGAGGTGAGTCCAGGACCACTACCCAGTCCATAGAGGTGAGTCCAGGACCACTACCCAGTCCATAGAAGTGAGTCCAGGACCACTGCCCAGTTCATAGAAGTGAGTCCAGGACCACTGCCCAGTTCATAGAAGTGAGTCCAGAACCACTGCCCAGTCCATAGAAGTGAGTCCAGAACCACTGCCCAGTTCATAGAAGTGAGTCCAGAACCACTGCCCAGTCCATAGAAGTGAGTCCAGAACCACTGCCCAGTCCATAGAAGTGAGTCCAGAACCACTGCCCAGTCCATAGAAGTGAGTCCAGAACCACTGCCCAGTCCATAGAAGTGAGTCCAGAACCACTGCCCAGTCCATAGAAGTGAGTCCAGAACCACTGCCCAGTCCATAGTTTTGTAATGATCTGTAGAACAAGAGTGAAGATTTTAGCCTTAAAGTTTACAACTGTTGCACTCACTGCTCTTTAATCTTTAATACTTATTTTCCTTGTTAAAAAAAATGTGGATAAACTTTCCGTTCTAGTAGAACTTTCCATTTACAGGGCAACGATGAAAGAATAAAGAAATAAATATTATGCAGAATATTTTGATGTAATGAAACATATGATAATAGGCCCTGTCTGCATCTCCTGTGTTCCAACTGTTTGATTCTCTGATCTGTGTTGTCGTCTATTTTGCAAAGTCCTTCAAGATGACCGCTGTTGTGATTTAGGGCAAAACACAAATATATTGAATTTAATTTAACTCACACCGACTAATCTGGTTTCATCCCGTTGTGTGTTTGGCAGCTGTACAACGAGGAAGTTCTAGACTTGTTTGACACGAGTCGTGACATGAAGCAGAAGTCTCATATCCGGATCCATGAGGACCCGAGTGGAGCCATCCACACCGTGGGAGTGACCACAAGAGAGGTCCAGAGCCAGGAAGAGGTCAGAGTCAACAGAGTCCCGTCTAGTTCAGTCCAGAGGGAGTCTGGTTTGGGGACCACATGGGCCAGAGGGAGTTGGGGACTACGGGCTTTCATCTCTGCTGCTAGCAGGTGATGTTGTCCTGTTGGCTGGACTAGAGAAAAGAGGTGCAGAGGTCGCAGCCCTCTCCAGGTCCTGATCCCGGTCTTCTCCTGCTCCAGGGCCTGATCCTCCCCAGGTCCTGGTCCCAGTCTATTTGACATCCCATAAAATGTCAAATAGTTGAAGAAAGCTTCAACCGGTAGAACATAGTATCTGAGTATCCGAGTACTGTGTTGGTATGGTTCCTCTTCTCTGTTACAGATGATGCAGTGTCTCAAACTGGGGGCCCTGTCCCGGACCACGGCCAGCACACAGATGAACGTCCAAAGCTCTCGCTCTCACGCCATCTTCACCATCCACCTGAGCCAAGTGAGAGTGTGTGCCAGCAACAAGGTGAGAGACCAAGACCAGAGAGAGACCAGAGACAAGAGAGACCAGAGAGCAGAGAGAGACCAGAGAGCAGAGAGAGACCAGAGAGCAGAGAGAGACCAGAGACCAGAGAGAGACCAGAGACAAGAGAGACCAGAGAGCAGAGAGAGACCAGAGAGCAGAGAGAGAGCAGAGAGAGACCAGAGACAAGAGAGACCAGAGAGCAGAGAGAGAGCAGAGAGAGACCAGAGAGCAGAGAGAGACCAGAGACAAGAGAGACCAGAGAGAGACCAGAAAGAGACCAGGGAGAGAGATCAGAGAGTCCAGAGCCCAAAGACCAGAGAGTCCAAAGACCAGAGAGACCAGAGAGAGACTATCAGAGAGAAGAGAGACCAAAGACCAGAGAGGAAACAGTAGCAGTAGCAGAATCAGTAGCAGCAGAACATGTGGTGTGTACTTTCCAGGAGGACAGTCCTGAGTCAGAGGTGGACGAGTACGAGACGCTGACGGCGAAGTTTCATTTTGTGGATTTGGCCGGAAGTGAACGACTGAAGAGAACGGGGGCCACGGGCGACCGAGCCAAAGAGGGCATATCCATCAACTGTGGGCTGGTGAGGATTAGAGCTAACTCCCAATGGCTCCATGTGGATTCGAGCTAGGCCAGAACCAAGATCAAGCTCTAAGTTGAATTTTCGTTGGGGTTAATGCAATACCTCTATTAGACTTGTGAGGAAATAAACTGATTTGGAGCCAGGAAGTAGTAACATGGGTTTTATTACAGAGTTTGATCTGGTTTTACAGTTACATACCCCAACTTTAATGTCATGTACCCCAGATTCAAAGCCACGGACCATAAGTGAACGTGGCCCTGTGTGTGTGTGGTTGTGACAGCTGGCTCTGGGGAACGTGATTAGTGCATTGGGAGACTGCACGAAGAGGCCCGGTCACGTCCCGTATCGAGACTCCAAACTCACACGGCTCCTACAGGACTCTCTGGGAGGAAACAGGTGCGACCGCTACACCGACCGCTACACCAATAACTACACCGATAAATACACAGACCGCTACACCGACCGCTACACTGATAACTACACAGACCGCTACACCGACTGTTACACCGACTGCTACACCGATAACTACACCGACCGCTACACCGATAAATACACGGACCGCTACACCGACTGTTACACCGACTGTTACACCGACTGTTACACCGACTGCTACACCGACCGCTACACCGATAACTACACCAACCGCTACACCGACCGCTACGCCGACCGCTACACCGACCGCTACGCCGACCGCTACACCGACCGCTACGCCGACCGCTACACCGACCGCTACGCCAACCGCTACACCGACCGCGACACCGACCGCGACATCGACCGAATATAGCTCTCACTCAGACAGACTGATCTATATGCCGTTGCTCACATGTGGCTCTCACTGTCACAGTTTTTAGCTGTTGCATGTGCTGCTATTTCCTTTATAAAGCTGTCCTTGTGAAAAATATGTTGGAACGTCTCTGTATTGATCAAAGTGTATGAGACACTTATAGTTCATTATGATGTGATTCTCTCTGGTCTCTGTCCGTTGTCTCTCTCTGGCCTCCCTCTGGTATCTTTCTGGTCCCTGTGCACCACAGTAAGACCCTGATTGGTTCCTGTGCTCCTCTTTCAGCCAGACTGTTATGATCGCCTGCATCAGTCCTTCAGACCGAGACTTCATGGAGACCCTGAACACACTGAAATACGCAAATCGGACTCGGAACATCCGGAACCGCGTGGTGGTGAACCAGGACCGGGCCAGTCAGCAGATCAGCGCACTGCGGACCGAGATTGCGCGACTGCAACGCGAGCTGCTGGAATACCGGACGGTAAGCTCTGGTCTCTCTCTGGTCTTACTGAGGCTGTAGATCCAGGAATTAGGCTGTACATTTCAGAACTGAAGAGGCTCCCAGGCGGGGAGGTGGTTGCAGCCAACTAGTTCCAGGACTAGTAGTAATAGTAATAGTAGCAATATTATTATTAGTAATAGTGGCAGTAGTATAACTCTTCTACTCTTGTCTTGTGTGTATAACTTTCCTTGTCTTGTGTCCAGGGGAAGCGTCTCCCAGGAGAGCAGGGCGTGGACGGCTTCAGTGACCTGTTCCATGAGAACTCCATGCTTCAGACGGAAAACAGCAACCTGAGGGTCAGAGTGAAGGCCATGCAGGAGACCATCGACGCCCAGAGAGGGAGACTGACCAGTGTGCTGAGCCAACAGGCTCTGATGAAGACAGGTACTTAAACTGACCAAAGAGACCAGAGATATGTCAGAGAGAGACCAAAGAGAGAAACCTGAGTGAGATCAGCGTTCTGAACCAGATGATTTTTGAGTCGTTCCTTGAAGCTCAAGGCTCTTGGTGAGGGAGGGAACGTACACTGTGCGTTCTGTCCCTCTCACGTATGACAGCTCAAGTATGACATTTATTGCATGCTGTACATGAAATGTGGATATAAATTGGCACTTAGACGCCGGCAGAGCACCACATACTGCAAATGTAGAAAGGGAAATGAAGTAGAAATCATGAGATGAAATCCCCTGGGACCTTGGCCCTGGTGGTGGTACTCAGGAGAAGGGTGAAAGAGCTTGTATGGCCGAAGAGGCGGTGGTGATGGGGAGGAGTAGGGATGCTGCGCGACAGGAAGAGGACCGAGCAGTAAGCTTGAGCTTGTGCTCACATAGTTCTTCTATGAAGCTGAATTTCAGCTTTAGCTTCATCAGTTCAATTCAGTGATAAATGCTGCCTATGAGGTTTTATAAAGTCACCCATACAAACATACTCACCTTATGTGTCCGCTGCAGGAGACGAGGGCACGGAGGAGATCGGGGCCATGATCCAGGGGTACATAAAAGAAATCGAGGATCTCAGGTAAGGGCCTAAAGCTGGGGTATGTAACTTTAGTGTCATAAATAAAACAATTAGTTCGTAGAGACCAGCGAGAGATCAGAGAGTGACTAAAGAGACCAAAGAGAGAGAACAGAGAGAGACCACAGAGTCTATGATCCAGGTCTACATAAGAAAGATTGAGGACCTCCAGAAACTGTGTGGGGTTTGGGGCATAAAGCTGAGGTATTAGTCTCATAAATAACACATTTTGTCAGAGTAGAATGTCACAAATCAGATCAAACTGTGAGGACGGACGGTTCTGTTCAGGGCGAAGCTTTTGGAGAGCGAGGCGGTCAACGAGACGCTGCGCAAGAGTGTGAACCGAGCTTCCAATCGACAGTTCTATTCCAGTCCTGGTCTGGGTCATTCTCTGGGTCCTGCTCTGGGTCCTGGTCCAGAGAAAGAGACTGAAGACCTCATTGAACTGGCAAAGAAAGATCTGGAGAAGCTCAAGAGGCGAGAACGCAAGAAGAAAAAGAGGTATGGCATACGGAAATGGGACAGTAGTAATAGTAGCTTTACCTTGACTGTCTCTTCTCTCCTTTTCTCCTCTCTCCTCTCCTCCTCTCCTCTCCTTCTATCCTCTCCTTCAGGATGCAGCTCTCCTCGGAGGACACAGAGAAAGAGGACTCCAGGTGTGAATAATTCTGTGTCCTGCGCTCATACATGTTCTGTCTGCAGCCTCAATGTTTCAATTCAGTTTAATGTATTTGTGTATTGCCCTAAATCATTTACAAAGTTGTTGATTCGCCCACAAAACAGAATCAAACAGTTCAAACACAGGAGATACAATAATAACAAACACATAGGCGCCGTTGTCCAATAGGGAGCGGGATGACCACTGTCCAGAATGTTGATAAATGTGCAGTAATATCCCACATCATCACTGTCCTTAGACCCTCCTGGGAATCACTCAAAAAAGTGAGAAACCTCGTGAGGACCCTATTCAGAGAGAGATCTGCTCCAGGACTGAGGCTGTAGATCCAGGGCTGAGGCTGTAGATCCAGGACTGAGGCTGTAGAACCAGGGTTGAGGCTGTAGATACAGGACTGAGCCTGTAGATCCAGGACTGAGCCTGTAGATCCAGGACTGAGGCTGTAGATCCAGGACCGAGGCTGTAGATCCAGGACCGAGGCTGTAGATCCAGGACTGAGCCTTTAGATCCAGGGCTGAGGCTGTAGATCCAGGACTAAGGCTGTAGATCCAGGGCTGAGGCTGTAGATCCAGGACTGAGGCTGTAGATCCAGGACTGAGCCTTTAGATCCAGGACTGAGGCTGTAGATCCAGGACTGAGGCTGTAGATCCAGGACTGAGGCATGTCCATTTCTTTGCTTCAGTCTAAACAAGGAGGACGAGCCAGATAACGAACAGAAGGAAGAGGAGGAGGAGGAAGAGAAGGAGATGCAGAAGCCGGAGGAGGAGAAGGAGGAGGTGAGGATGTGGGTGAGGGTGTGTGTGTTTGAGCTGTGAATTCTTTATTGTGTGTGTGTGTGTGTGTGTGTGTGGCAGGATGGAGCAGATATCAGTGAAGGAGATGAAGAGGAAGAAGAGGAGGAGGAGAGCTCTGAGTCCGACTCTGAGCCTGAGGACAAAGGTACAAACAAACTCGCTCCCAGGGCTTGACCCTCGGCCCGCTCCTCTTCAGCTTTATTACGGCATGCTTTGTTTCATGTGACGAACGCAGAGCATCGTAGCCTTTTTACACTGATGTGTGTGTGTGTGTGTGTGTGTGCACTGGTATAAACCCGTATGTGTGTGTGTGTGTGTGTGTGTGTGTGTGTGTGTGTGTGTGTGTGTGTATGTGCAGAGAACTTCCAGGAGGACTTGGCCAACATTACGTGTGAAATTGCCATCAAACAGAAACTCATTGACGAGTTGGAAAACAGCCAGAGACGACTGCACACTCTGAAGCTGCAGTATGAGCAGAAACTACTGCTACTGCAGTACAAGATCACAGAGACTCAGCAGGAGAGGGACCGAGTACTGCAGAGCATCAGTAAGTACTACTACTGCTACTGCTGCTACTGCTACTACTGCTGCTACTGCTACTACTACTGCTACTGCTGCTACTGCTACTACTGCTGCTACTGCTACTACTACTGCTACTACTGCAACTGCTACTGCTACTACTGCTGCTACTACTGCTACTGCTACTACTACACAGAAGCCACTTTGAAAGTAATTCTTGTTATGTTTGTGGCTCAGGAAACACCAGTTTATCACATTTCAAAATGTAATTGTGTGACCCTCCTCCTGTGACCCTCCTGTGGTTCCTTTAGCACCCGTGGACAGCGGCTCGGAGGACCGCACCCGCCGCGTTAAAGCAGAGTACGAGCGAAAACTGAGTGTGATGACCCGCGAGCTGCAGAGACTCCAGACGGCACAGAGAGCACATGCAAAACTGCTGAAAAACCAGAGCCAGTACGAACGCCAGCTCCGCACACTTCAGAACGAGGTTGCGGACATGAAGAGGACCAAGGTACGGCTTTCAAAATCCCAGTGTCTGTGCTCCTCAGAGTGCCAGCAGGAGACCAGTCCCCTGGTTGATATGGCACTAACATATCGCAGATGAATTTTGATGCGAAAACAGAGATCTGAGACCAGAACTAAGGTGATAGGGCTTGAGAGAGAGACCAGAGAGAGAACAGAGGTGACAAATACAGCTCTCTCTTTGTTTCTGGGACAATCATTTCAGTCTTGTCTGAGGTGTCCTCCTCTTGGACTGCGTCTGGTCCGTGTCCTCTTGTAGGACAGTCTGTTCTAGAGACAGAACAGAAGAGCATTCTGGGTCGACCTCTGGGGCACCCCACAGGGCCATGTCTGTCTTTAGTCTTGGTCCAATTGTGTAAAACTATCTGTGTTTGGGTTGTGGTTCTCAGGTTCGTCTGATGAAGCAGATGAAGGAGCAGCAGGAGAGAAACAGGCTGAACGAGAACCGACGAACCAGAGAGATTGCCACGTTAAAGAAGGACCAGAGGAAACAAGAGGTACAAATACTACAATTATGCCATCACTACTGCTAGTACTACTTTTAGTACTACTACCATTACACATACTTCTCTCCTAGTACTGTGTCCTTATGTCTGCAGCATCAGCTGAAGTTGCTGGAGGCTCAAAAACGCCAACAGGAGCTGATCTTGAGGAGGAAAACTGAGGAGGTGAGAGACTTCTACTTTTGAATATTTTAAACGTATATTTACGAACCACAACAGGGAGCAGAGTCTGCAGTCAGAGCTCCTTGTCCTTACCCTCACCTACAACCCTGAGCTTTGGGGAAGGAACCACAGGACCAGATAGAGGACACAAAGAGGGATAACTGTTAGGATTTGTCATGTCAAACCTGCTCTCTCTGTTGTGCGCAGGTGAGCGCCCTTCGGAGACAGGCCAGACCCAGTTCAGGCCGAGTCCAGAGGAAAAACCAGGACCCAGAGCCCGGACTCAGAGCAGGACCAGGAAGGAGCTTCCCTGGGACCAATGGTACCAGGTCTGTGAGAGAAATAATTTAATATCTCTGGTCTCTCTGATTTAACTCTGATCTCTCTGGTCTCTCTCTGGTCTCTCTCTGGTCTCTCTCTGGTGTCTCTCCGGTCCCTCTGATCTCTCTCTGGTCTAACCCTGGTCTCGCTGGTCTTAGGTTTTCGTACCGCAGCAGAGGTCTTTACTCAAACAGATCCATTCGCTCTAAATGGCAGCGTCTGGAGAGGAGGATCTGTGACGTGATACTTCAGAAGATGACCATCTGTAACATGGAGTCAGACATGAACCGTCTGCTGCAGGTATGAGTCAGTTCTATGTACCAGCTTTGGACCTGTTCTAGACCTCTTCTAGAACGGTTCTAGACCTGTTTTAGACCGACCTTAGACCTGCTTTATGACTTGCTTTGATGTACTTTTCTTTTTCAGCAACGCGAGGACTTGACTCGGAGAAAGGAGAAGATTCTGAGGCGCAGAGAGCGTTTGTTGAAGGACTCGGGTCTGGTTTCAGGTCTGGACTCTGTTACCCCAGACCTGATCCAAGCCCCAGATCTGGTCCAGTCCTCTGACCTGGTCCAGTCCCAGCAGCTGCAGAAGTCCCTGGTTTCTCTGACGGAGGAGATGGACGCGCTGACCGCAAACATTGACTACATCAACGAAAGCATCTCTGACTGTCAGGCCAACATCATGCAGGTGGAGGAGGCCAAGGTCAGAACCTGGTCTTGGTTTAGGCCTGCTTTAGACCTTCCTTAGATCTGCTTTAGACCTGCTTAACACCTGCTTTTGATTTGCTCACTTCTGTCAGTCTATCTCAGGGCGTGTGAGTGTTCCCAAAGATTTTAGAAATACTACAGATTCCGATTCAGTTTATTTCCCATTTGCAGTAAAGTAAGTATGTGCAAAAGTGCCTCAGTGTGCACCAGACAAGTACATAACTAAAACAAGCTAAAACAGTACCAACAATGGGCACTAGATGGCGCTCTCAAACAGTCTTTGGTACTTCTTTGGTTGTTCTTTTGTTCTGTCGGACAAACGCATAAACTCCTTCATCCTTTTGCGGCCTCACTGTTTCGTGGAATTTTTCTACATGCAGTTTTTCTCGTGCGTGTATACTCCAAGAACATCGTATAGTCTCTGGTCTCTCTCTTGCCTTTTTCTGGTCTTTCTCTCTAGTCTCTCCCTGGTCTCTCTCTGGTTTTCCTGTCCACCTCAGTCCTGCTCCTGCCCCTATGAGCAGTGTCCTCTGCGGCTATATTTTACACCGTGTGTTCAGCTTTTGTCAGCTGCAGCAGCACTTAAACCTACAACCAACAGGTTCGGTAAGTGTATAAAGTGTGAGTGTGAGGGGTTATAGAGCCTTAAAACATATGGCGGCTACTTCAAGGATAACAGTTATTGTGGGTTATTTTGAAAACACATGACCCCTGCGATAAACTAGGGAGTACTGTATTACAGTTCAAACACTAAATATAAATTGGTCTTCCTTCTTGCTCTGCTGGCCTGTCACATGTTCTGTGTGTTCTCAGGAGGACTCGGACTCTTTGGATGTGGCGGCCCTGATCGGCTCGTGCTCATTAGCCGAGACTCGTTTCCTCATCGACCGGTTCATGAACGTGACCGTCAGTAAGGTGAGGTGTGGCCAGAGATCAGAGACAGACCAGAGATAGACCAGAGTGAGACCAGAGTGAGACCAGAGTGAGACCAGAGTGAGACCAGAGAGAGACCAGAGAGAGACCAGAGACCGCCTAGATAGAGACTAGAGAGTCCAGAGAGAGACCAGGGGGAGAGAGACCAGAGAAAATCACACTATAATGGACTAGTTTCTCATCCCCGTGGAACAATACAGACAGTTTCCAACAATTGCTTTCACAAGTATAACTTTATAATGAAAGAGCAGTGCATGCAACAGCCCATACTCTGACAGTAAGAGCTTCACTCACCCAAACACAGCTCCACGGCTCGTGACGCTGTCATAATGCAGAGTTTTGTCCCTGGTGTGACTTGTGTGTAGTGTTTGAGTCATGACCCCTGGGCCACATGTGAGCAGAAGTCTTTAAAGCTGTCTTCCCCGTGTCTCAGGGGCTCCAGGCGGCTCAGCGCGAGGCCCAACTCATGCAGGTCCAGACCAGACTCAAACAGACGGAAGTGACAAGTGCCACTCAGAACCAGCTGCTGTTCCACATGTTGAAGGAGAAAGCAGAACTCAACCCAGAGCTGGAGTCTCTGCTGGGGTCTGCCATGCATGGTGAGTCAGACCTGATTAGATCTGTTTCAGACCTACTTTGGACCTGCTTTAGACCTTTTTTAGACCTTCTTTAGTCCTGCTTTAGACTTGCTTTAGACCTGCTTTTGACCTGTTTTAGACCTGCTTTGGACCTGTTTTAGACCAGCTTCAGTCCTGCTTTACACTTGCTTTAGGCTTGCTTTAGTCGTACTCTAGACCTGCTTTAGAAATTCTTTAGGCCTGCTTTAGGCCTGTTTTAGTCCTGTTTTAGACCTGCTTCAGTCCTGTTTTAGACCTGCTTTAGTCCTGTTTTAGACCTGCTTTAGTACTGCTTTAGTCCTGCTATTTCTCTATGTATTTTAAGTCCCATAGTTACAGATTTAGGCCACTGCTCAGTCTGCTCCACATTTAGAACACTGCTGTCTGTAAACTCCATAAAAATCTATAAATACAAATTATTAATACTATGAACATTCTATTTTTATTCACCTTGTCTTCTTTGAGTCTATGTGTGTCTTATTTCAGCTGCTCTCTCTGTACTGGCACTAAGGCTCATATTTACACCAGTTTGACTGCGTATTTCCACCAGTTCTGTTCTCCCGCATCCCCTGTGTTTCTGTATTTGTCCTTGTCTGTCTAATTCATCCTGAAACTCTCAATGTCCTGTGTTTTTTACGTAAATGTCATATTTTTCAGAGAATGCAGACGACAGCAGCAGTGACGAGTCCCCACACAGTCCTTCTGCAGACGGAAAGTACGTCTCCTCCACCTTTAGACTTGCTTTAAGGTGTATTTGCTTTAGATACAGCAGCTTTATGACAAAAATTATTATTCAAAAATTATTATTATTATTGTTTTCTTCTTGTTTTTCAGTTTTTTGAAAGCTGTTATTCATCCGGCAACCTTATAAAATGTATTCCCATGTTGACCTTTTCTCTGGTCTCTCTCATTGGTCTCTCTCATTGGTCTCTCTCATTGGTCTCTCTCACTGGTCTCTCTCTGGTCTCTCTGATTTCAGTTCTCTGACCTCAGACCTGATAAAACTCAGTGGAGAAAACCGGAGCAGGAACAAGGTACCTTACAGTATTATTATTATTATTATTATTATTATTATTATAAATACAGACTTTTTCTAGTTTTATATTGTTCTAAACTTACAATTTTACAAAGTTTTTTGATTTGCCAACAACAGATCCGAGAATCAAACAGTTTGAACCTCTCTCTGGACAGATGGGGCGTAGTTACATGCGAGAAGATCCTGATTTTACCGCTGATGGATCTAAAAAAACGGTCCAGGTCTCTGATTGAGTATAAATTTGTTTCATTTCAGGCTCGCAGACGAACTGCCACTCAGATGGAACTCCTGTATGCAGAGCCCGCCCCCGACCGCAGCGCCGCAATTCCATTGGCCCAGAGCCCAGAGGGAGGCGGGGACATTGAGAGTCTGTACAACGTGGTGTCTCCAGGATTCTCCTCCAAAACCCCCACGATGTAAGCACACCCCGCCCCTGCTGCCTGGACGCCCTGTTTCAAAACGTCCCGCTTCTACCACTAGAGCGGGGGTCTCAAACATGTGGCCTGCATACAGTTTTGTTTGTCAGTGTGCATGGGCCACAGACGTATCATATTATCTGATGCCGGGCCCGTAGACCTTAAATACATGGCTAAATTCTAACCCGCTAGCTCAATGAAGCCCAATAAGGAAGTGCCATGGATCTATTATAATATCTGGATAGGGTATTACTAGCTCATAGCTGTCCCACCCTGCTCGTTTTCTTCCCATTCTGGCTCCGCTCTGATCATCAGCTCTGATTGGTCAGAACACGGCCGAGGCCTTTTGTGCACTGCATGAGAGTCACACACGCGTATTTGGCGCAAAGCATCATGGGATCTCGTCCACTGCGCAGAACCGGTCCCCATGGACATCCATGCTCTACTGAGCACAAGCCATTGATTTGAATTGGATGCCATCTTGGATCACCAGGGCTTGGGAAGTGCTCGTGAGGTGAGGTTTGAGCATGGACGTCTGGTCTAACCCAAACATTAGCAGAATTGACCCATTTCTTCTCTGGTCCTGGTCTGAGCCGGAGGTGCAGAGTGTGGTACTTTCACACGCCGAGCCGAATGTGAGCATTCAAATCAATCAGACCAAAGGGACATGTGAGCGTCCTGACCAATCTTAGCAGCCGCAAGTGTTTTGAAGGAAACAGCGACGACCCACTCACACACAGATGCGGCACTAGATTTATAGAAAAGTGGATGATTTAAAAAGGAAAAAAGGACCCAAGCTGTAGTTTCTTGAGGCTGAGGACAAGCCGTTTGTGGAGCACTGAGGTCTACAGTCGCTTTAGCGAATGTTTGCTGCAGTACCACGATCCACCACCAGGGGCCCGGCTTCAGCAGCAACACCCTCCAAATAATATTATACATCCATGCTTCTTCTGTATTAGCACTACTGTGATGTCACACCAAGCCCCGGTGATCCAAGATGGCGCCCATTCAAATGAATGGCTTGAGCTCAGTAGGGCATGGGACTTCACGGAGACCGGGAGATTAGCAGAACTCGCTTATATTTGGGCATCGTCTGGTCCTCCCGGTTCTGCGCAGTGGACGAGCTCCCATGATGCGTTGCGCCAAATACGCGTGTGTGGCTTTCATGCATGCGCACAGAGGGGCTCGGCTGAGCTTTGACCAATCAGAGCTGATGATCAGAGCAGCAGCAGAGCAGAGTCAGAGCGGGAAGGAAAGGAGCAGAGTTTGTGGCAGTAAAGTGTGGATTTAAAGAAAACCAAAGGATTTAAGAAGAAAAAAAGTTCAGGATGACAAGGGACAGAAAAATCCCCACCAAATCCGATATTTCTGAAAGCTGTAGGTTCTCTGTCAGCTGAGGTCGAGCTGTTTTAATTTACATTGAGTTCGATGGGACTTTTTTTAGGGTAGCCCGCATGAATTTAGTCTGCAGTACCACAGGCGTCCCCTGTGCCCATGGGTGGAACAGCTTTAAGCTAGTAATACCCTATCCAGTTATTATTATAGATCCATGTGTCACACTCGGTCAGTCCACCCCTAATATTTGTTCAATGGCCCCAGTTGCAGTCTGAGACCCCTGCAGCAGATGCCGATATTTCCCTTCTCAACATCATGTCTTGTTCCATGTCGTTTTGTGTGATGTAAAAGAGTTAAACCTGTGGAGAAGCATACTCCAAAACCATCACCGTCGCCTCGAAGGAAAAAGCCTCAGACGACAAAGAGAGATCTGAAACAGTAAGAGCTGCCTGCGCCTGACAAACGAGGATCAGGGCAAATGATTTGTCACTGATTCAAACTATAGTTAGTTTACAGATCGACAGTGCTCTCAATCTCAATGCTAACCCACTAGGCCAATGCTAACATAGACTGTATATAGAGAGACAATGCTAACCTGCTACCTTAATTAAGCCCAATAGGGAAGTGCTCGTGGTGAAGTTTGGCTCCTGCTCGCTCTGGCTCCTTACATGTAAACAATAAACTCCCCGAGCTCAGTAACCGTTTGTGTCACACTCACCATTTTTGGCCAAAATCCGTTGTTTAGCGCTGTCTGTGATCTTGATGTTTATACTGTGATATTGTCTTTGTAAATCCAGATATGAACCATAAAGGATTAACCAATCAGGAGCCTTCTTTCAAGGGGGAAACTCTAACTTTTCCTTAACAACCGTCTTAGCAACACGTCTGCTGTTACAATCGGAAGCTAGCGCCACAGAAGAATCAAATCGGCCTCTTCTGCAGTACGGCTGACACTTTGTGATGTCACACTCAATCAGTCCGCTCCTGACGGATAAGGATCAGGGGAAAATGATTCACCCGTGATTGTGTTGCTTGATCTGAAGGTTACAAACTGGGCAAATAATCACTAACACTGAGTGGAATGCTTTGTGATCTCTTACCTGGCGACAAGAATTCGGGAAAACTCTGTGGTGATTTCTGTGTGTTGAGGAGAATAACTTCGGTCGTAACTGTCTCTCTCGGAGGTCTTTGCTACAGGTGCAATATACTGTAAGAGCTCTCTCTGGTCCCTCTCTGGTCTCTCTCTGGTGTAATATGAAGTCTTCTGTGTCCTAGGGGGGTGATCAGCTCCGTGTCTCTGGGTAAAAGCTCTCGTCTCTCCGCACTGCAGTGTGTGAGTGTGGCTGAAGGACACAGTAAAGCTGTCCTCTCTGTGGACTGCACCAACGAGCTGCTCTTCACTGGATCCAGAGGTAAAACAGCTCCTCATCGACCTGTTTCCTATCTCCAAATGATGACAGAAACTCCTCATTGTCCTGATCAGAAGTCTTCATCCCCCAGTACTCTGTAGGCTGTTTCCCTTTAGCACAGGGGTGCCCAAACCTTTTGCTTCCAATAGCCAAAGTGAAAATGTGCCAGTGGGCTGCTGGCCACCAATCTTACACTGTGAAACACAAATAAATGTACATTTGATAAAGTTCCTTTAATTATTCTTGAATAATTAAATGCATTACTTGTCTATCAGTGCAAATCACAGCTGAATGAAAACAAAACAACAAAGCCCGAGTTAGAAGAACAACAAACGACAAGTGCAGCCTCAAATTTGCAAATGTCAACAACAAAACTAGATTCAACACAATCTGCTACAACTGCGTGGACGTAAGATGCCCCTTGTCTGTTGCCACCGCTGATGTTGCTCCATGTTGTTCAGGTTAATGCCGTAAACTTGAAGTTGCAAGCGCAAAGGCTCATGGGAGATCCACTCAAATTGATAAAACATAAAATTGCAAAATAATTCACAGTACACTGCTCCCAATTGTTTTGATAACACTGTGTTTAATTTCAAAAGCCTTTAAGTTTGAAAGTTGATGTAAACCATTATTGAGGCGTTTATCCAGTACTCTCTTAAAACATGAGCATTACACTTTTTCTACTCCATGTAGCCTTAACCTTCTTAAAGCTACATGGAGTAGTATAAAGTGGTCTCGTTCTCCGCAGATGGCACATGTAAGGTGTGGAACCTTGTCACCGGTCAAGAGATCATGTCCCTGGGAGCCCACCTAAGTAGCGTGGCCTCGGTCCGGTTCAGCTCGGGTCTGGTCTTCACTGTCTCCAGCTGCTTCATCAAAGTGTGGGACATCCGAGAGGCGGCCAAGTGTGTACGGACGCTCACGTAAGTCTGTACACCCTCGGGTTATCCCCCTGCACAGCCCTCAGTGACCCCCCCTCCCCCTTATCCCCCCAGGTCCTCAGGACAGGTCTCAGCCTCAGACCCCTATGGTCCTGGTTCAGCCCGTACTCTGTCTGAGACTCACATAAACCAGATCTGTGTGAACCCGAGCGGAACCAGTCTGTACGCAGCAGCAGGGAACAGTGTGAGAGTGTGGGACCTGAGGAGGTGAGACTGCTGAGACTACTGCTGCTTTGACTATTGCTGCTGAGACTACTGCTGCTTAGACTACTGCTTCTGAGACTACTGCTGCTGAGACTGGTGCGGAGACTACTGCTGCTGAGACTACTGCTGAGACTGGCGCGGAGACTACTGCTGCTGAGACTACTGCTGCTGAGACTACTGCTGAGACTGGTGCGGAGACAACTGCTGCTGAGACTACTGCTGAGACTGGTGCAGAGACTACTGCTGCTGAGATTACTGCTGCTGAGACTACTGCTGAGACTGTTCTACATCTTGTGTGTCAGGTTGGTCTCCACAGGGAAGCTCTCTGGACACCAGGGTCCCGTCATGTGTTTGACCGTAGACCAGACTGGGACCAACCAGGACCTGGTGGTGACCGGCTCCAAGGACCACTATGTCAAGGTGAGACCCGCTGACCCTCATGGTGCCTCAGTCCTGTCCTGGATCTACAGCCTCACTTCTAGGTCTACAGCCTCAGTCCAGGATCTACAGCCTTGGTTCTGGATCTACTGTCTCGGTCCTGGGTCTACAGACTCTGTCCTGGGTCTACAGTCTCTGTCTTGGATCTACAGCTTCAGCCCTGGTTCTACAGCCTCAGTCCAGGTTCTACAGCCTCTGCCTTGGATTCAGGGGTGCCTCAGGGCCCATTACTTGGACTATGTTTCTCTTCCTGTTTCTGTAAATAAAAGCTCAGAGCTGTGTTTGTGCTCCATAGCTGTTTGAGGTGTCTCCGTCCTCAGCCGGGACTCTGGCTCCGTCCTGGACCCTGGACCCCCCACACTACGATGGGATCGAGACGCTCCTGGTGCAGGGAGAGCGGCTCTTCAGCGGCTCCCGGGACACGGGTCTCAAACTGTGGCACCTGCCCAGCCGAGACCTTCTGCAGGTCAGTGCAGCTTCAGACAAAGCTGCTCTCACTGAGACTGAGGCTGAAACTCTGTTTGTCTCTGTAGCAGGTCCCCTCAGCGCACAGGGACTGGGTAAGCTCTCTGGCCCTGGTCCCACTTGGTCTGGTCCGGTCTGGTTCAGCCCGGTCTGGTCCAGTCCTGGTCAGCGGCTGCAGAGGGGGGATTCTCAAACTGTGGAGCGGGGACTCTCTGACTGCACTTGCCGAAGTTCGAGGTCACGACAGTGCCGTGAATGGCCTCTGCAGCAACAACTCCCACCTGTTCTCCGCCTCAGAGTGAGTCCTGCTTTAGACCTGCTTTAGACCTGCTTTAGACCTGCTTTAGACCTGCTTTAGACCTACTTTATACCTACTTTATAGCTGCTATAGCCCTTGTCATCAGTTCTTATTCTGTTGCAGTGATCGCACAGTGAAGATGTGGAGGTTCAGAGGAGACCTGGAGGACCCTGTGGAGGACTGAGCTGTTCCTCCTGATCCTTCTCCTCCTGCTGCTGCTCCTCCTGCTCCTTCTCCTCCTCCTAGGCTTTAAAAACTGAGATAAGGAGAGATATGTCCTGAGGGGCGGGGCTTTCTCTGTTCACACTGACCAGACCTAATCAGAGAGGAGGCGGGGAATCTTTATTTTCCTGCTTTGAGCCTCATTGAAAATAATGGCGCCCTTTTACCACGGGGTGTGCGGCACAGACTCAAACACACGAGCCTCAGGAGCAGCACCACAACCTGTGCAGCAGCGAGCTGGGTCCAAAATGCACTTGTAGCACATTATTCCTGCTTTAGACGCGCCCTGTCAATCAAAATGTTTATTTTAAAGATGTACAAACACAAGAACACACAAAACACATAAACACAAACATGAAGCTGCCAGCACAGAGACGCGGCTCAAACACTATCAACGCCTTCAGCACCAGGACGCGCCGCATCAGTCCTGTATTTCACCTCTTACGTGTTTTTCCACATGTGTCCAGCAGGCGGCAGCAGCGGCCCCGATCACACACTCATAATAACCCAGTATGACTGTAGTCTGGCTGTAGTCCAACTGTAGTCCGACTGTTGTTCGTCTGTAGTCCAATTGTTGTCCGAACGTAGTCCGACTATTGTCTGCTTGTAGTCCGAATGTTGTCCGACTATTGTCCGAATGTTGTCCGACTATTGTCCGAATGTAGTCCGACTGTTGTCCGAATGTAGTCCGACTGTTGTCCGAATGTAGTCCGACTGTTGTCCGAATGTTGTTCAACTGTTGTCCGAATGTAGTCCGACTGTTGTCCGAATGTAGTCCGACTGTTGTTCGTCTGTAGTCCGACTGTTGTTCGTCTGTAGTCCAATTGTTGTCCGAACGTAGTCCGACTATTGTCTGCTTGTAGTCCGAATGTTGTCCGACTATTTTCCGAATGTTGTCCGGATGTAGTCAAACTGTTGTCCGAATGTAGACTGACTATTGTCCGAATGTAGTCCGACTGTTGTCTGTCTGTAGTACGACTGTTGTCTGTCTGTAGTACGACTGTAGTCCAATGACAACAAGATTAACACTAATGTAGGTGATCACTGATGTAGAACTCATGAACGTCACTGTTGCTCACTGAACACGTCTCAAACCTGCACTTGGACCTGACCACAGGGCCCTGAGCCCTTATTTTTTGCTACAGAAAAGTGTGAGTGTGTTTGAATGCGTGACCATTTACAAGACTCTTCCCTTGGAGAGAGAAGGAAGGAGCTCTGGATAGAAACGTTGCTCCTCCATAGTAGAGAGTGGCCAAAGTGAGTTCATATTTGTCTCATGTCTGTCCATGACTAAAAGTCCTTCAAACTTACAAAATAACTTTGATCTGACTGTTCCCTGCAGAGGACTGGACTATTCTGGGAAGTGTAGTTGTATAGTGAATGCTGAGCACTCTGGGAAATGTAGTCTTTCCGTGGTGAATACTATGCACTCTGGGGAATGTAGTCTGGCTGCATTTGGTCCTGAGTTTGTCTCCTGGGCCGTGCAGACGGGGCTTTTTGTGTGGAGTTTGCATGTTCTACCTGTGTCCCAGCACAATCTGATATCATCAAGTTTTGAACAGCTATGGATTACAGTTATAAGTGGATATGACCCTGACCTCTGGCTCTAACCCACTGAAACACTGGTCTTAGACTGGTGATATACACACACACACACACACACACACACACCTGTTTAGTCCTGCTTTAGGCCTGCTTTAATCCTAGGTCAGTCCGGGTTTACATCTGCTTTAGACCTGGTCCAGTCCTCTTTCAGGTTTTCATGTAGTGAATGTTTTGAACTGACTGTATTTAAATCAAGTAATGAATGTGTCCTGGTTGAGACCTGATTCAAACCTGGTCTGGACCAGGTTCTGTCTGAATGTGAAGTGTGCTGCCAGCAATAAACTGGTTTAAACCCCCAGACCTGGACTTGTGTTTCATTACATTCTGATTATCCAGTTTTAAACAATGTTGCTGTTGAAACCAACTAAGATTTTTCCACATGTGTCCACCAGACGGCAGCAGAGATCCTTCATCACAGCATGGATCTATTATAATATCGGATCACAGACTCATAACACCATGTACGTCTGTAGTAACTGCTATTAACAGGACATTTGTATCAAAGCTTTTTAAAATACTAATTATATTTCACGTGTTTTTACCTCCAGACCTCATCCCAAATAGTGAGCTTCAGCGCTTTAGTCCTGACTTAGATCTGATTTAGTCCTGCTTTAGACCTGCTTTGGTACTGATTTAGACCAGCCAAATTTGTCCAGCTTTAGTCCTGCTGTAGACATGCTTTAGACCTGCTTTAGTCCTGCTTTAGTCCTGCTTTCAGCCTCTTCTTTAGGGGGATCCGCTCTTCTATAAATAGCCGTCTCGTGCTGCTGACGCTGCGGTCTCCCTCCTCCTCCAGAGGCGGCTCAAGAGAACGTTCAAAAGGGTCAAAACCCTTTTGAACGTTCTCTTGTACGGTTTGTACAGGTTAAGTTCTGAAAATAATCCACAACTTGCAGCATACTTGAAGGAGCAGTTGAATGCGTTAAGGCTGCAAAACCGCCCACCAAATAGAAACCAGAGCTAGAGACAAGAGAGAGATGAGATGCTCCCTCAGAGGCTCCCCCAGAGAGAGGTGAACGACGTTACAGCATAGAAAACCACTGTACACTGTATCACTGTACAAATCTCAGTCCTGCTTTTCAGTACAGATATTTCACATATTACACATTCCAATACACATATTTCAGATATTTCACATTCCAGAACACATATTTCCACCTCAACCATTTGAACTACTTTATCCACAGTTCTGGCTCCTGTGGTGACTGATGAGGGGGGGGGGGGGGGGGGGGGGGGGGGGGGGGGGGGCATACCCCTGTGCGCTCGCCCTGGAGCCGCCCCTGCTGGATGCTGCCCTCGCCTCCTCTCTCTCCTCTCTCTCCGGGTGTGAGCACTCGTGTCTCCGCCTTCAGAGCTCCACACCTCCACGGCTCCGCTCTCACACTGTTCCCCCACAGAGGCATCTCTCCGCCAGGCGGTGGAAACGCTCTCTCCTCGCTTCACACCCCCACACCTCCGGGGACCTCCTTCTAGGACCTCCATGCACGTCTCCAGCTCTCTCCTCCCGGACGCAGGGCAGAGATGAAGCCGCTCTGAGGGACCCTCTCGGCGGACACGGACCATGGCGTGGATCGGGGACGCGGACCCCTTCACCGCGGCCATCCCCGCGACCAAAGTAGAGCTTAGCGTGTCGTGTCGGTGAGTCCTGCAGACCTGTTTTAGACCTGGTTTAGACCTGGTTCAGACCTGCTTTAATCCTGCTTCTGACCTGGTTTAGACCTGGTTTAGACCTGGTTTAGACCTGGTTTAGTTTGATTAAATGGAATCACAAAAAGCTCAGTCTGAAGAGAATAATTGAAAGCTTTGAGTGAACAGTGGAACAGTGGAGCACCGGAACCACAACAGTGGGAACAAAACTAGAGCTCTGACTGCAGACACTGCTCCCTCTTCACCACAACAGTCAGACTGCTTCACTGCAGGATCTGCACTGACTGTCAATCTCACGCTCTGTCCTTCAGAGGACAAGGACCAGGACCCAGACCTCCCTGCTTTTCTATTTACCTGAACCGTGGCATTTTCTGTGTTGCATCTGCCCTATCAGGCCTGGTTCAGACCTGGTTCAGACCTGGTTCAGACCTAGTTCATTAATCTTGCAGCAGCGTGGGAGTGAGACGTCAGTTTTCCATAAATTTTCCACGAGTCGATGTTTTAGCGGAAAGTGTTTTATGGATCATTTGAACTGTTTCTGTTGAGGAAGTTTGAAAGCAGAGTTAGGTCACAGAAGGGAAGGGGGGACAGCTTTGGCGGGAACACCAACTTTAAGAACTATTTCTATTTTTTCAGGAATCTTCTGGACAGAGACACGTTCTCCAAATCTGATCCCAGTAAGTAAGAGGGGAGAGGCCTTTCTGGTCTCTCTGCGAGAGACCAGAAAGAGACCCTAGAGAGACCAGAATGAGAGACAAGAGAGAGACCAGAGCGAGACCAGAAAGAGACCAGAGAGATACCAGAGAAAGAGACCAGAGAGAGACCAGAAAGAGAGACCAAAGAGAAACCAGAAAGAGACCAGAGAGATACCAGAGAAAGAGACCAGAGAGAAAGACCAGAAAGAGACCAGAGAGAGAGACCAGAAAGAGACCAGAGAGAGACCAGAGAGAGACCAGAGAACAGAGAGAGACCTGAGAGAAACCAGAGAGAGACCAGAGAGAAGTGTGAGGGACCAGAGAGAGAACAGAGAGAGAGATTAGAAAGAGACCAGAGAGGGACTGGAGAGAGAGACCAGAGAGAGAGACCAGAGAGAGACCAGAGACCAGAAGAAAAAAAAAAGACTGCTGAAGAAAAGCAGCCCCACAGCATGATGCTTCCACCCCATTCAATGAGGCCGATGAGCCGTGTTAAGTCTTGCTACAAAACATTACCTTTCCATTTCCCACTCATCCACTCAGTCCAGATGTAGTGTGACAGGGCTGTGCAGAAGAGTACTTCTGCACTGTCTTTATCCTGCACCATCTTCCCCAGGTGTGTGTGTGTGTCTCTGCTTGTGTACGTGTATGTGTGTGTGTGTGTGTGTGTCTTTCTCTACTTGTGTGTGTTTGTGTTTGTGTGGGAGAAGAGAGATGCAGAGCTCCGGTGACATATGCAAATGTGTGATTCACTCACACATGTCCTACACAAACACACACACACACACACGCACACACACATTTTATAAGCAGAGACACACACACCAGTTTGTGTTCATGTCTTTGGCTCTCTTCCAAAGCTGATGACTCGTCCACAAACTGGAGGCCACGCACAAAAACACACCTGCTTTAGTCCTGCTTTAGTTCTTCTTTAGACCTACTTTATTCCTGCTTTGGCGGCACGGTGGCTGAGTGAATAGCACTCTCGCCTCTCAACAAGAAGGTTTGAATCCCGGTCGGGCCAGGGCCTTTCTGAGTGGAGTTTGCATGTTCTCCCCATGTCTGCGTAGGTTTCCTCCGGGTACTCCGGTTTCCCCTACCACTAAAAATATGTACAATAGGTCTGGCATGCGCCTCCTGTTCGGCGACCCCGCTCCCATCTCTGTGTGGAGTGAGAGGACAAGTGCCCAAAAAAAACAATTGTAAACCGCTTTGTGACTCTGGTCTGTGAAAGGCGGTATATAAATAAAGATTACTTACTTACTTACTTTATTTCTGCTTTAGACCTACTTTAGTCCTGGTCCTGTCCGGTGTTCACTGGAAATGTTTGTGTTTCCTCAGTCTGCATCCTCTACACTCAGGGCATCGCCAACAGAGAGTGGAGAGAGGTGAGTTTGAAAACACAGCATTTACACAGAAGGGTGGGTCTCTCTCTGGTCTCTTCCTGGTCTTTTCCTGGTCTCTCCCTCTCTGGTCTCTCTCAGGTCTCTCTCTGGTCTCTCTCTGGTCTCTCTCTGGTCTCTCTGGTCTCTCTCGGGTCTCTCTCTGGTCTCTCTCTGGTGCCTCTCTGGTCTCTCTCTCTGGTCTCTCTCTGGTTCCTCTCTGGTCTCTCTATCTGGTCTCTCGCTCTGGTCTCTCTCTGGTTCCTATCGGGTCTCTCTTTCTGGTCTCTTTCTGGTCTTTCTCTGGTTTCTCTCTGGTCTCTATCTGGTCTCTCTCTCTGGTTTCTCTCTGGTCTCTATATGGTCTCTCTCTGGTTTCTCTCTGGTCTCTCTTTCTGGTCTCTCTCTGGTCTCCCTCTCTGGTCTCTCTCTGGTCTCTGGTCTCTTTCTGGTCTCTCTCTCTGGTCTCTCTCTGGTCTCTCTCTGGTCTCTCTCTGGTCTTTCTCTGGTCTCTCTCTGGTTCCTCTCTGGTCTCCCTCTCTGGTCTCTCTCTGGTCTCTTTCTGGTCTCCCTCTCTGGTCTCTCTCTGGTCTCTCTCTGGTTCCTCTCTGGTCTCCCTCTCTGGTCTCTCTCTGGTCTCTCTCTGGTCTCTCTCTGGTCTCTCTCTGGTTCCTCTCTGGTCTCCCTCCCTGGTCTCTCTCTGGTCTCCCTCTGGTCTCTCTCTCTGGTAGGGGATGTGAGCTATTCTCTCTCCACAGTTCGGTCGCACTGAGGTCATAGACAACACGCTGAACCCAGACTTCGTTCGAAAATTCATCTTGGATTATTTCTTTGAGGAACGACAGAATCTGCGCTTTGACCTGTGAGTTTCTGCCCCTTTTGAGGAGGAAGTTTATTTTGATAGCACAACACACAACACAGACAAGAAGGCACACACTACATACAAGTCACACCAGGGACAAAACCTTGCACATTGACAAAGCAACGAGCCGCATTTGAGTGTTTGGGCTGTTGCGGGTGCTGCTTTTTCCTTTATAAAGTTGTCTTTTTGAAAAATATAATGGAAAGTGTCTGTATTATTCCACATGGACAAGGGGCTTTCTGTAGTACATTATATTTACTGTATGATTCTCTCTGATCTCTCTTTGGTCTCTCTGTGGTCTTTCTCTTTCTGGTCTCTCTGTGGTCTCTCTCTTTCTGGTCTCTCTGTGGTCTCTCTCTTTCTGGTCTCTCTGTGGTCTCTCTCTCTCTGTGTGTTCTCTCTCTCTCTCTGGTCCTGGCACTGTGACAGTTCTTAGTCCTCACCTCTGGTCTCTAAGTCCCTCATTTACACACGTGAAGACATAATGGTTCAATCCCTGTCCAGTCCTCAGTCCTGGTCTAGCCCTGGTTCAGTCCTGGTTCAGTCCTGGCCTTTGCCTGGTTTCTAGTCTAATCCGAATTCCTGGTTCAATTTTGATCTAGTCCTCAGTCCTCTTTCAGTCCTGGTCTAGTCCTCAGTCCTGGTTCAACACTTATTCAGTCCTGGTCTTTCCTCAGTCCTGGTTCAGTCCTGGACTTGTCCTGGTCCAGTCCCAGCCCCCTCGTCACATACATTACTCCTTGATGCAGACATAATCCAATGTTTTCCATTTTTCTTCTTTATGTTTTTCGACTCGCTGGAGCGAAAATAACACAAGATATTTATTCTCCACCAGAGCACAACATCCTGCTGTTCATATGTGAGTCCGGATCCGGGTTTAGACCGGGTTTAGACTGGGTTTAGACTAGGTTTAGACCAGGTTTAGACCAGGTTTAGACCAGGTTTAGACCAGGTTTAGACCAGGTTTAGACCAGGGTTAGAGGCCAGAGAGAGACCAGAGGAAGAGACAAGAGAGAGAGACCAGAGTGAGAGAGATCAGAGAGAGACCAGAAAGAGACAAGAGAGAGAGGCCGGAGAGAAACGAGTAATACAGACCTTTTCCAATATATTTTTCACATGGACAACTTTATAAAGGAAGGAAAAGGAAAGCACGTGCAACAGCCCAAACTCTGACAGTGAGAGCTTCACTCACCCAAACATAATCAGAGTATTGTCCCTAGTGTGACTTGTGTGTGTGTGTTAGAGCCCTGACCCCTGAGCCACATGTGAGCAGGGGTCTAAAGAACAGCTTTTATTGTGTCTCAATGAGCTGTTGAGGAGGAGGGCTTCTGCACGAACTCAAGTTGCTCTCAGGAACGTGTCTCTGGTTTCTCCGCAGGTACGATCTGGACTGTAAGAGCGACAACCTCTCCAAACATGTGAGTCCTGAGGATATTTACTTTATCACAAAACACTAACTCTGTGTTTGTCCACTGCCACACGCTCCCTTTTTATAAAGCTGAGGTGCGTAACTTTAAAGCTGGGGTATGTAGCTTTCAGACCATAACCTCTGTAGTACAATCCATGTCAAGATCATGATCAAGATTGTTTATTTTTGTCTCATTTAGGAGATTTGGTTCGGACTGATGGGTCTGCTACTTTTCAATACAAAGAATACATACACACAGAGACACCAACACATGTGCTGTACAGTTCACACATACATCACCTCCTCATGTGCTTATTTAACAGATTCACTGAAACAGGTATGAATGAGTTCTTATAGCAATTGAGTCGGCACCGTGGCACTCTGTACCTCCTCCCAGAGTTCAAAAGCTCATATTCAGCGAAAAAGTACATGTGTAGGTTCAGAGAGAGAGTATGCTCCTGGTCTGTCTCCTCATGCCCTGCTCATAGAGGGACAGGCGTGCCCATTATTTTCCCAGCGGTTTTTAACAAGTTAAATATTTGTGTTTTGGATTTAACAAGAAGATTCCCAAACCAGCTGGTAATCCCGTACCTCAGCGATGATTCAATGGATGCTTTGTGGATGATGAGCATGATGGTCTTCGACACACCGAACGCTGATGGATTCTGCTGCAAACAGTCGTCACCTGTGTGCTCCAGCTCAGAACTGAGTCAATGTGGACTCCCAGATATTTAAAGGAGCTCACCTGCCTAATTTCCTGGCGGTGGATGGTGATGAACCAGCAGCTTTAGGGTTCATCACAATTTCCACCTTCGTTTCTGTATTAATCTGTAATTTAAGTGAGCCACACCATTCTACCAGACTATCCAGGTCAGTCATAGTTCATGGCTCTAAAACAGCTCAACTAGTAGACACAGTATGTGTGGTATTACCCTCAGAAGGAAATTCAAATTTGAGGTAAGGGTCCTGGTCCTGGTTTAGTTTTCATAGTACTTCTGACCTCTGTCACATCTTTACATCAGAATCAAGAGTCAGAATCAGAGTCATTTTTATTGCCATGTAAGTAACAGGAAGTCACAGACTAGGAAAATGCTTTGACAGTCAGAAAAAAGAGGGAAAGAAAAGAGTAAGGCATAATACAAAAAAACAGCATACACTTCTAAGGTATAAAAATTTAAATTTAATTATTATAATTACAATTACAATTACTATATACAATATAAAAATGCACATGGGGCTCACAATATGCAGTAAGCAGTGCAATAAGGTGACAACAGTAAAGTGGCGTTATGATGGGAAGGAAAGTAAACTAACTTTATAAAGGGCGGGGGGGGCAGGTTATGAAGTGTTCAAAAGCCCAACAGAGGGGAAGAAACTGTTCTTGTGGCGGGAGGTTCTGGTCCGAATAGACCGTAGTCTCCTGCTTGAGGGCAGGTGCTAAAACAGTCCATGTGCAGGGTGAGAGGGGTCGGAGTGAGACGACCAGCCCGCCCACAAGCTCGGGAGTTGTAGAGGTCCTGCAGCGATGGAAGGCTGCGGCCGATCACCTTCTCTGCAGAGCGCACGATGCGCTGTAGTCTCTGTTTGTCCCTGACTGTGGCTCCAGTGAACCACGCGGTGATGGAGGAGGTGAGGATGGACATCTGTGCAGGCAGCTTGGCTTTCCTGAGCTGCCGCAAGAAGTACATCCTCTCCTGGGCCTTTTTGATGATGGAGCTGATGGTCGGCTCCCACTTGAGTTCCTGGGTGACGGTGGTGTTTAGGAAACAAAACGAGTCCAAAGAGGTGATGGGGGAGTCCATCAGGAAGGATGGGGGCGGGAGGACAGTGCTCTTCTGGGCGTTCAGCTCCAGGTTGTTCCCACTACACCAGGACACCAGCCGGTCCACCTCCCTGCCTTAGGAGGACTCATTTTTGTCAGAGATGAGAACAGTGAGGGTGGTGTCGTCCGCGAACTTGATGATCTTCACGGAGTCGTGGCTGGAGGTGCAGTGGTTGGTGTACAGGGAGAAGAGCAGGGGAGAAAGAACACAGCCCTGTGGGGCTCCTGTGTTCATAATCCGCGAGTCCGAGACATTCTTCCCCAGACGCACTCGCTGCTTCCTGTCTGTCAGGGAGTCAGTGATCCACCTGCAGGTGGAATCGGGCACGTTGAGCTGGGAAAGCTTGTCCTGGAGCAGGTATGGCAGGATGGTGTCAGATTTTTCCAGACAGAAAAGTGACAAAGAGAGGACCATCCTCATTCTCAACCCAAAGAGTCAAATAGTGACTCATAGATCTCTTACTTAGACAGAAGATAACATGTTTCTGTTGGACAAACCATACGTGTTATTTATGAGACTAAAGTTACGTACCCCAGCTTTAAAAATATGTAATTTATGAGACTAAATTTACCGACCTCAGCTTTTAGACTTGTATTATTTATGACACTAAAGTTACGGACCCCAGCTTTATTAAGTCCAGTAAGGTCCGGTCCGGATGAGCTGTTGTTTACTGCAGTTTGTTAATCCGAGTGTGAAGTGTTTGCACCGCGGGGTCCAGTCCACACACACACAAACACACAGACACACTCGGGCTGACACACTTCTGCCCCAGCCGCCCCGGGGCAGACATAGACTTGGCCCAGATTCTGCCACGTCAGCCACAGCTCCTTCACACACACTCTCCTATCTCCCTCCTCATTCTCTCTCCTCTCTCCTCTCTCCTTCCCCATTCTCTCTCCTCCCTTCTCTTTTACTTCTCATTCTCTCTCCCACCTCCTCTCTCCTCCCACTGCTCCTCCTCTCCTCTTTCCTCCCTCCTTCTCCTTCTCCCTCATTTCCTCTCTTTTCTCTCTCCCTTCTCATCCCATCCTTAGGACTTCCTGGGACAGGCCTGCTGTACTCTGGGGGAGATCGTGGGCTCTGCAGGGAGTCGACTGGAGAAACCTCTCATGTGAGTTCTGATCTGTGTGATATGTCTGAGTTTCTAATCTGCTGCTAGCAAATCAACCCCTGGAGACCACTGCTGACCACTGCTGTTTCACCACTGCAAACATACCAAGACATGGGTGTTTCGCTGAATTATCAAGACAAGAAGAGCAGTGATCACAGATGTACTGTGTCCCAAGAGGCCTCAGTGTGAGGGGGGAGCATCATGCTGTGCTTTAATAACATGTGCTTTTGCTTCAGGGGGATTCCAGGGAGAAAGTGTGGAACTGTGATCGTGAGAGCGGAGGAGCTCAGCAACTGCAGGGTAAGACTACTGCTACTGCTACTGCTACTGTTACTACTACTTTTACTGTTACTGCTACAGTTACTGCTACTGTTACTACTACTGTTACTGCTACAATTACTGCTACTGTTACTACTACTGTTACTGCTACTTCTACTGTTACAGATACTGCTACTGTTACAGTTACTGCTACTGCTACTGTTACAGTTACTGCTACTGTTACAGTTACTGCTACTGTTACTGTTACAGTTACTGCTACTGTTACTGTTACAGTTACTGCTACTGCTACTGTTACAGTTACTGCTACAGTTAATGCTACTGTTACTGCTACTGTTACTGCTACTACTGCTGTGACTCCTACTGCTGCTACTACTGCTAAAGCTACTGTTTTTGATAATACTACTACAGTGGTCATATACACTGAGGCATCTTCTCTCACGTGAGCGTGGGCTTTATGTCTCCACGGAAACGCAGCATGAGCTAAAAATAACACACACACACTTACTCAGACACACACACACTGACACAGACAGAGAATTATACACACTCACAGACACACACACACACACACACACACAGAGATAGAGAGAGAGAAACACACAAACACGCTCACAGATACACACCCACACACACACACACCCACGCGTACACAGTAACACACACAGAGACAGTGACTGAGCATCTTAAAGGACACATATTCCCAACTGTTCCTCCTCATCACAGACCTGCAGCTGTGTTTAGCTCCATCCACACTCCTCCCACCTCTTCTGTCCAAACACTTGTTACACTGTGATGAGTTCTGATTTGCAGACAGACGGATTGAACACAACACAAACCACTAACTTTAGTGTCATAACATTGAAAATGTTTAAAGCTGGGGCACGTTGCTATAGTAAATAACACATGTAGTTTGTCCAACATCAGAATCTGAATCAAAATAGTTTTTATTGCCATTGTGAGTAACAGGAAATCACAAACTAGGAAATTGCTTTGGCCTTCGGCGCAAGTAATTAAAGCCGCAAGCAGCGTCGAACGCGCCCTGATGGGAGCTCCACTGTGTATTTTGAATGTCTATGATCCATGATTGTGTGTCTCTATTTAAAAACGAAACCACATTCTCCCCATGTAACACTGGGCTCAGTCTGTAGAGGGCGCTAATGCTGCAATTTCATGTTTTACACTTTCAGTTTACCCAACCTGAGAGTTGAACAATCAATTTAAATTTTGTGCAAATTGGACTTTGTATGTGTAAACGGAGGGCATATACTTTGCACAATAGCGCCCTCTACAATTTCAATTTCAATTTTTGTCTTACCAAAATAACACATTGTATGCCAGAAAACAAAATTTGGTGAGTGTTCGTGTTTGTTAAGTGGGTCAACTATCAGAATCAGAGTCAGAATCATTTTTATTGCCACGTAAGTAACAGGAAGTCACAGACTTGGAAATTGCTCAGTGCAACAGTCAGAAAGAGAGGTAAAGGTAGAGAGGCATAATAAAAAATAAAATAAAAAAGCACTTCTAAGGAATAAATTTAAATTTAAAATAGAGTTACAATTACTGTATACAATATACAAGTGCACACAATGTGAGGTCACAGCAGTACAGTAAAGTAAAGTGACGTATGATGGGCAGTAAAGTGACTTTATAAAGGGCGGGGGGACAGGTTAAGAAGTGTTCAAGAGTCCAACAGCAGAGGGGAAGAAACTGTTCTTGTGGCGGGAGGTTCTAGTCCTGATGGACCGCAGTCTCCTGCCTGAGGGGAGTGGTTGGAATAGTCCATGTGCAGGGTGAGAGGGGTCGGCTGTGATACGACCAGCCCGGCCTCGAGCTCGGGCGACGTACAGGTCCTGCAGCGATGGAAGGCTGCGGCCGATCACCTTCTCTGCAGAGCGCACAATGCGCTGTAGTCTCTGTTTGTCCCTGACTGTGGCTCCAGCGAACCACACGGTGATGGAGGAGGTGAGGATGGACTCGATGATGGCCGTGTAGAACTGCACCAACATCTGTGCAGGCAGCTTGGCTTTCCTGAGCTGCCGCAGGAAGTACATCCTCTGCTGGGCCTTCTTGATGATGGGGGAGGGTGGGGGCGGGGGGACAGTGCTCTTCCTGAAGTCCACAATCATCTCCACTGTCTTCTGGGCGTTCAGCTCCAGGTTGTTACCACTGCACCAGGACACGAGCCGGTCCACCTCCCTCTTGTAGGCAGACTCATCGTTGTTGGAGATGAGTCCAATGAGGGTGGTGTCGTCCGCGAACTTGATCAGCTTCACGGAGTCGTGGCTGGAGGTGCAGTGGTTGGTGTACAGGGAGAAGAGCAGGGGAGAAAGAGCACAGCCCTGTGGGGCTCCTGTGTTTATAATCCTAGAGTCCGAGACATTCTTCCCCAGACGCACTCGCTGCTTCCTGTCTGTCAGGAAGTCAGTGATCCACCTGCAGGTGGAATCGGGCACGTTGAGCTGGGAGAGCTTGTCCTGGAGCAGGGATGGCAGGATTGTGTTGAAGGCAGAGCTGAAGTCCACGAATATGAGATCAAACAACAGAAAAACTAAATACCTGTATCCCCTTGTATTGATGGTACATGTGTTTAGACGTTGTTTAGCGATTTTGAGGCAAATTAGTGAAACGGCCGAGGAGGATTTGATCTCCAACTGACAACTTTTTTTGTGAAAAAGATCAATTTTCATTATTCCATTTTTTCACATTTTCCATCCCCGTGGCCATTTTGCCGTCTATGGCCAGTTTCAGGCCATAGACGGCAAAAGTGGTGGCACATTAGTTTCAACGGCGGAGATAGGCGTGACGACGTCCATGAATATCTACAGTCTATGACGAAAATAGATACAAAATCTCCACATTTCTTAACATTTCTTAAAACTGCTTTTACGCAAGTGCACTCATTGTTGTCGGAGACAAGTCCAATGAAAGTGGTGTCGTTCATAAACTTGATCAGCTGGAGGTGCAGTGGTTGGTGTACAGCAGTGCTTCTCGTGTGACCCTGGGGGACATGCTTTGTTTTATTTTTGCCGTACTTGAATAAAGTTTAATTGCACATGGATCTGGTTGCGCCCGTCTCTCTATTTGGGAGGGGGGCGCGAGACCGCAGGGAGTTTTTAGTTTTTCGCTGTATGAAAGAGAAAGTGTGTTGCAAAAGGAGAAAGGCCATAATGTGACCAGCTCAGATAAGTGCGTGTTTTTGCATAACCTGTGCACGCGATCAATACGCCGGTGCAAGAAACAGAGCTGGAGTATGACGTCTCAGGGAGTGTCCATGTCTCCCCCATGTCTCTTCCCTTCTAAAACTCACTAAACTAAACTAAACTCACTAAACTAAAGCTGTGGTACCTACATTTTCTTTTGCATTAATAATGCATGTTGTGCCCAAAAGTGAAATATTGTGAACAAATCAAACAGAACAAACCACAACAGGCCATCTTATATTTTGTTGTTATTTTTGTTGCACACTTAAGAAAGAGCTCTGAGTCCTTATTTGACTTTTTGGGCTAAGAGTTGATTTTATGGGCCAATCTTAAGTGAGTGGGGGCGGGGGGGATGTTTTCGTCTACCTAAGGGGGACTCAGCAGAAAATTATTTAAAAGCACTGGTGTACAAGGAGACGGGCAGGGGATAAAGAACACTGCCCTGTGGAGCGCCTGTGTTTGTAATCCGAGTGACTATGATATCCTTCCCCAGACGCACACACTCCTCTGGTTGAGGGTGATCTCTCCTGCTGTGCGGGGTGGTCTTTCCTGTTGTGTAAGGAGGTGGTCTCTCCGTATTAAAGTATTTTAATACGGAGAGTAGTAAAGACGTAGTATTTAAGACCTACAAATCCAGAGATATCATCTTCTGAAGCGCTGACAGGTCACCAAGGGCCCCACGCATCTGCAGCACAGTGGAGGCGTCACAAGAGGCGCTACAGGAGTCCCGGCCTCCGTTGTGGGCAACTTCTACAGAGGGACTGTAGAGAGCATCCTGACCAGCTCCATCACTGGGTGGCACGGCACCAGTAAGCTTTTATTTATATACCGCCTTTTCACTGCACATAGGAGTCTCAAAGCGGTTTACAATTGTTATTTTTGGGAGAGGGGTGCCAGTGCAGGAGGCACATGCCATACCTATTGTACATATTTTTAGTGGTAGGGGAAACCGGAGCACCCGGAGGAAACCTACGCAGACACGGGGAGAACATGCAAACTCCACTCAGAAAGGCCCTGGTCCAACCGGGATTCGAACCCAGGACCTTCTTGCTGAGAGGCGAGAGTGCTATCCACTCAGCCACCGTGCTGCCCAGCACTGCCTCCTGCCGAAGGAGCCTCCAGCGCATCATGAGAGCAGCAGAGAAGATCTGTGGAGCCCCTCTCCCCACCATTAAGGACATGTACTCCACCCGTCTCACCCGCAAAGCCGTCAGAATCACCAGGGACCCTACGCACCCATCACACAGGCTCTTCAGGGTAATGCCTTCAGGGAGGAGACTGCAGAATTTACGGAATCAGTTCCAGTCGACTTAAAAACAGTTTCATTCTCAAGGCCATCAGGAAGCTGAACTCCCTGCCCTCCCTCCCACCCCTCTTCCCCCCACCCCTCTTCCCCCACCCCCCGCTCCACAATCACGGATGAGAGAAATATAATTTCAAACCATTCACTTGGTTTGACAAATAAAAATCTTGAATCTCCTTTTGTGTAAGGGGGTGGTCTTTCCTGCTGTGTACAGGAGTCGGTGATGCTGCAGTTCTGTGGAAACAAACTGGACAAGAAAGACTTCTTTGGGAAATCTGATCCTTTCCTGGTCTTCTTCAGGAGCAACGAGGACGGATCGTGAGTTTCTCTGCTCTCTTTATGGTCTCTCTCTGGTCTGTCTATGATCTCTTTCTGGTTTCTCTCTGGTCTCTATGGTCTCTCTATGGCCTCTCTCTAATCTCTCTCTGCTCTCTCTCTGGTGCTAGAGAGCAGAGCCCCGGAGATCCAAGATGGCGCCCTATTCAAATCAATGGCTTGTGCTCAGTGGCACATGGGACCCCTATGGGCACCGAAAGATTAGCAGAACTCGCCCGTATTTGGGAATCTTCTGGTCCTCCCAGTTCTGCCCAGTGGATGAGCTCCCATGACACTTTGCACGTGTGTGGCTTTCACGTGTACATAGGGGCTTGGCCGCGTTCTGACCAATCAGAGCTGCTGATCAGAGCAGAGTTAGAGCGGGAGCCAAACAAGCAGAGTTTCTTGCACTTGATTTATAGAAAACTGAAAAAAGTTCAGGATGACAAGAAACACTAAAATTCCCACGTAATCCGACCTTTATGAAAGCTGAAAGTTCTCTGTTAGCTGAGGTCGCGCTGTTTTAGTTTACATTGAGTTGTTTGGGACATTTTCTGGGTAGCCCTCGTGAATTTAGTTTGCAGTATACCGTGGGTTCCCCCTGTGCCCATGGGTGTGACAACTATAAGCTAGTAATACCCTATCCAGATATAATAATAGATCCATGGTGTGCCCCCAGCCCAGTCTCTTGTCCGCCTCATGTGAATGCAGCGATGATGAAATCTGCTGGAGCTGAGAGGTCTTTCATCTCACAGCTGAGACTGAAGCCGGGTCAGGAGGGGGAGGAGGGGGGCACTGAAGCGTGGGAACACAACCGCAGGCCGATCTCACAAACACATACACAAACACGCACTCGCACACAGAGAGAGACACACACAAAGAAAGACTCACACACAAAGACACACACACACACAGAGAGAGACACACACGGCAATGCCTTTAGCAGAGATCAAACACCTCACACAGAACCGGGGACGGACAGAGGGTAAATATCCACACATCAGTCATTTTGATATGAAGAACAGATGAAGAACTTAAAGAAGATGTACCTCAGCACTGTTCATCGTCACAAATCGACCTGCCCATTCTTCTGTTTCGCTGGTCTCTCTCTCCCTGGTCTTTCTCTGTCTTCCTCTTTCTCTCTCGTCTTTCTCGGGTCTCTATTTGGTCTCTCTTTGGTCTCTCTCTGGTCTTGCTGGTTCTTCTCTCAGGCCTCTCTCTCTGGTCTCTCGCTGGTCACTTGCTGGTCTTTCTCTCTGATCTCTCTATTCCCCATGGTGGACAGCTGACTCAGGTCCAAACAACACTCTCTCTCTCTGCAGTTTCACCATCTGCCATAAGACGGAAGTGGTGAAGAACACTCTGGACCCAGTGTGGCAGGCCTTCAAGATCCCAGTGAGAGCGCTGTGTAATGGGGACTACGACAGGTCAGGACCAAGCTTTTGTATAAAAGGTCCCATATTGCACTTTTTAAAATTTTTGTGTGATAATAATTTGAGTGATACACCATATCATACTCAAAACTTAGATATTATAGCCATTTCTTGCATAGCGGCGACTTTGCCTCTATTGAAATGGCTAGTTCTCTGCTCTTCTGCCTGTGAGCCCACCTCCCCCAAGCCCCAGCGATCCAAGATGGCGGCCTATTCAAATCAAAGCAGTGGCCCATGCGCTACTTGTGCTCAGTAGCGCATGGGCCACCATGGGCACTAAAAGATTAGCGGAACTCGCTCATATTTTGGCATTTCTCTGGTCCTTCCGGTCGTCCCAGATATTATAAAACATCCATGGCCTCCCCCAACCCACGTGGTGACGAAGCTTTTCACGCTAACTTTGTAAACACAGAACTATCTAGCCTTTGCCGGTAGATTTGTCGCGGATTTCCAAGGCAGATCCCCGTGAATTGAAAGTGCAGCTACACTTACGCATTTCTCATCTTTGGGTAAAAATCACATAGTTTCACCAAAAACACATTTTTTCCAAGTTAACATGATGCTAACACTTTTAGTTGCTGTCAATAGCAGTGAAACAGAGTGGACCGCCCTTATTCAGCCAATCTGCTCTCAGCTCAAAGAGTCAAATAGTGGCTCACTGGGCTCACATAAAAGAAAGCTTTGTTTTTAAATCAATGAAGACAGCACAGTGCGTTGTGGACTTTTTCTGTCGCAGAAAACTACATGAGTTTTAAATATGTGTTATTTATGAGAATAAGGTTATGGACCCAAGCTCGTAACTTGTTAATGTCTGCTCTCATGTTTTAAGAAAGAATTTAATCCTGATGGGTTTATTTGGTTTCAGGAGCATCAAAGTGGAGGTGTACGACTGGGACCGAGACGGAGGGTGAGTCCAGGACTGAACCAGAACTGAATCAGGTCTGAACCAGGTCTGAACCAGTACTGAACCAGGACTTGTAACCAGATCTGTACCAGGTCTAAAGCAGGTCTCTCTCCGCAGACATGACTTCATTGGAGAGTTCAGTACGAGTTACAGAGAGATGTGTCGCAGCCAGTCGCAGTTCCACGTGTACGAGGTATGTGACATCGTCAATGTGACATCACTATGACATCACGTGTGTGTGTTGGTGATATCATATGTGTTTGTGATGTCACATGTGTGTGTTTGTGATATCACAGTGAGATTGACCCTGTGTTTCTCCAGGTACTGAACCCCAAAAAAAAAGGAAAGAAAAAGAAGAAATATCAGAACTCTGGGACGGTGAGTTCCCCGCCCCTTCTTTCTGAACACTCCTGTCTCAAACTCCTACACTGTGATGTCATAGAGAGGTTATCTTTCTTTAAAGCTGTGTGTATATCCTCCAGGTGACGCTGTTGTCCTGTCTGGTGGATTCCGAGCTGTCGTTCCTGGATTACATCAGAGGAGGGTAAGATTCAAACCACACTGCCCCCAATGCAAACACAGAAGACCCCCCCAAGGGTGTAGGTTTGCGTGGGGATTGTGCGGACACGTCCCCACCAATAATGATGATGTCACTGGCCAAATCTACGTCTTCCCTTTTATTCATACGCCGCGCCTCCTCCAGAGCAGCTGCAGCAGCAACTCGTGACCCGCTCATCTCTCAGCAGTGATTGGCTGTCTTCCTCGCTTGTGAACACAGCTCTTATGTGCACTTGTTGATAACGTAGCGAGGCGCCAAATTCTACGAGCAGCGCTGCTTACTTTCTAAAAGTAAAGTCCGACTGGCAGCGCTATCTGAAACGCGATCAGTGAAGCCATTTAGCCAGTGTCAAGTAAAGTGTTGATTGTTTTCCCTGAGTGTTGTAGAAGAGCAGACCAGTGAAAAGTATTGTTTACTTTATTTATTTACTTGTTTCATTGACTGGGACAGTGTACAGGGCGACAGTGGCTCAGTTGGCTCTCCCAACCTTCAGGCCTTTGAGCCTGAAGGTTGTGGGTTTGAGCCCACCACAAGACTGTCTGCTGGCGTTGTGTCCTTTGCAAGACGCCTCACCTCTGGGAACACCAGGTGCCACAGTGGGGCGGCTGTGGCTGCAAAGTGCCAAACTACCGTTGGGTCCTTAGGCAAGACACTTCACCCCCATTGCTTAGAATGAATCTGGTGTGTGTGTGAATGGTTGATGGTGGTCGGAGGAGCCGATGGCGCATACTGGTTGCCTCGCTTCTGTCAGTGTGCCCCAGGGCAGCTTTGGCTACAGTAGTAGTTTATCACCACTGTGTATGGAGTGAATGAATAATGACATGTGAAGCTTCTTTGAGTGTCCAAAATATTTTATAAAACCGATGCATTATTATTATTACACTAATGAACCTTACTGTAAATTTACCAGAATTAGCCACAAGGCTGAAACGGAAATATCTACATTTTAGACAGCACTGATTTAACCAACTTGTGAACCATAGACTGTGATAGTTTGTCAGCAGCTTGTGAGGAGTTTTTGGTGTGTATGTACATTACTGTGTCATCTGCATACGTTTGAAGATTTACATGTAAAGTACACCGATGGAAGGTTGATGTATAGTGAGAAGGATGCAGCGAGAAGGGTCACTGATGGGCTAGCCGCTAGCATCTGAACTCCAATCAAAAGGCTACATATTTAAACTGTATAGATCAATACGGTGCATTTTGGATAAATACATTATTGTTTGGGAGGGGACATTAATGCAGAATATAGACATACTGTTAGTCCAAAGTTCACATACTACACTGAGTGGGCTTTCTGCCTCTCATTCTTGACAGATTAGTTTAAAAAGCAACAAACTATTGCAAATATGGTTTATGATTACAAACTGGGTGTAGTGTCGGGCCCCAGTGAATGTCACCACCACACACTGCCCCCAATGCAGCGCACTGAAAATGAGTGTTTTTGTGCAGGACTCAGATCAACTTCACTGTGGCCATTGACTTCACTGCCTCCAATGGTCAGTACTAAAAATATACTACTACAAATACAAATACCACCACTACTACTACTGCTTCACTGCTACTGCTGCTACTGCTGCTATTACTAGTACTACGACTGCTGCTACTCCTTAGCAGCAGTTGTAGTAGTAGCAGCAGCAGTAGCAGTACTCTTCTCATACTGCAGGTAACCCCTCCCAGCCCACCTCTCTCCACTACATGAGTCCGTATCAGCTGAATGACTACGCTCTGGCGCTGAAGGCCGTGGGGGAGATAATCCAGGACTACGACTCTGATAAACTGTTCCCAGCGCTCGGCTTTGGCGCCAAACTGCCTCCGGACGGACGAGTGTCGCACGAGTTCCCCCTGGTACTCTACAATCTCTCTCTGGTCTTTCTCTGGTCTCATTCTGGTCTCTCTCTGGTCTCTCTCTGGTCTCTCTCTGGTCTTTCTCTGGTCTCGTTCTGGTCTCATTCTGCTCTGGACTAAACAACATGCCTCCCTCTTACAGAATGGAAACCCCCACAACCCGTACTGCAGTGGAATCGAGGGCGTCCTGGAGGCGTACTACCAGAGCCTGAAGACGGTGCGGCTCTATGGGCCCACGCACTTCTCCCCGGTCATCAACCATGTGGCCAGGTATGAGAGGGCTTCTGCTATGGCTACTACTACTGCTACTGCTACTGCTACTGAATCTTAAACAGTACAATGTGAGAATGATCTGATTTTTCAAATGTCACTGTGTAAACTCCCACACAACCCGCACCACATCACAGCAACAAATGTGTGTTTGTGTTTGTGTGTGTGTGTGTGCGTAGTAGCAGTGGCAGTGGCAGCAGCAGTAGCGGTAGTAGTAGTAGTAGTAGTAGTAGTAGTAGCAGTAGTTGTAGAAGTAGTAATAGCAGTAGCAGCAGTAGCAGAAGTTGTAACTAATATTAGCTCATCTCTATAATATCCTCTCAGACCCACTCTCTCCCAGAATGCACGGCTGCCATAGCAACAGCCGCCTTCAGACGCATATACAGCAAGGTGTTTATGGCCCCATCTCCCCAACCCTTCTGCCCAAACCATCACCAGTATAATGAGTCTTGCAAATCACAGCAGTTGTTCACAAATAGTATATCTAAAAGTTCAAAGAGCAGATTAAAATTTTGGACCTCTGCCAAATAAAGATTTATGGACCAATACATGGGTGGATGAGACTCTCCCCTCACCTCCTTAATCCTCTCCTCTCTCCTTTCCTCTCCTCCCCTCTCCTCCCATCTCCTCTCTCCTCCCATCTCCTCTCTCTTGTTGACAGACCTGACATGTCTTCTCTTTCAGATACGCCTCTGCGGTGACGGACGGGTCGCAGTACTTCATCCTCCTCATCCTCTCAGACGGAGTCATCACCGACATGGCCCAGACCAAGGAGAGCATCGTCAATGTAAAGACCAGACCCAGGCCCAGGCCAAGACCAGGACCAGATCCAGGCCGAATCGAAACAAACGTTTTTAGACCCTGGAACTGGTTTTTATTACAGAGTTTTTGTATTTTCAAAGATACGTACCCCAGCATTAGATATATTTAACTGGTGAAAAGTAAACTATGGGCTTTAGGTGCACAGGAAAGGGACGTACTTGGACGCTCTGCTGCAGCTGTTATGGTTTAACTTGAAGAAAACTTGTGAAGCAAAAACTGTGATTGCAAAAAGTCCTCCTGCTGCAGAACTGGCGCCAAAGTGCCATGCGTAAGATGGCCGCCGTTATTTAACTGAGCCTGAGGAGACCCCACAGTGTGGCAAGCGCCCAAAAAAAACTGTCCTTCATCTCTGCTGATTTTAGACATCAGCACGTTCTTAAGAGCAATAGTTTCACATAGTGTTTGAGCAGCTGAAACGTCTTTCTCTCTGGTCTCTCTCTCTGGTCTCTCTCTGGTCTCTACATGAACACAAACTGAAGCATGTTTTACTGCAAGTGAGTTAAACTGTCCCCCACAGACTTCAGTGTAATGAGTACAAAACCTGGTCCGGACGAGGTCTAGATCTGTGGGGAGCCATAAACCTGAGCTCATCATGAAGTAACGGCCGCATAAAACTGAAATTAAAGATTCAAAAGTGGGACACGGACACTGGGACTCATCTCTCTCTCACACACACACACACACACACAGGCCTTTATCTGTGTAAATACAGTCATTTAGAAATATTTCCCTGTGCTCTAACCATAGACTGCTCTAACATGCATCACTGCTGTTGTCTCATAAGGATCCGAAGGGTGTGTTACATGAAGTAATAGAACCAGCACCAGATCCGAACAACCAGGGAGTGTGGCTTACATGTGTGTTTATCAAACGGATTCAACTGGAGTCGAGAGGGCCTGGTCCAGATCTGGTCTCGAGCTTTGGGGAGGCATAAACCTGAGCTCATCATGAAGTAATGGCCGCATAAAACTGAAATTAAAGTTTCAAAAGTGGGACACGGAAACTGGGACTCATCTGAGCCAAAATTCTTTGTTGCTCGGAATCAAAATTCCCTGTTCATCTGAGCCAAAATGCCTTATGTCTGTTTTGCAGGCGGCATCTCTGCCCATGTCCATCATCATCGTGGGAGTGGGACCGGCAGAGTTTGACGGTGAGTGTGTGTTTGTGTGTGTGTGTCTGTGTCTCTTTGTGTTTGTATGTGTGTCTCTCTTATCTAGGGAACCTCGGACAGCAGCTTTAGTGATCGTCTGACTGTGAGCCCTGTTCACACACTGATACTGGCTCATCAAACAGGATCAACACGCTGAGCTGTGATTGGACAAGATTAATACGTTGTCCTTTGATTGGATTAAGCACCGGCTGTTTGAGAATCACTGTGTAAAACACCAAACAGATCCAACTTCAGCCAAGCATATGAGGAGTGCGACATCACCACAGTCTTTATGCAGAGGAAGCCGATTTAACCATGAGCCAGGTCAAGCCCTGTGTGGGATCAGCAGCTCTAACTCAGGCTCTGTGTGTTTCAGAGATGATCGAGCTGGACGGAGACGAAGAAAGGATTTCATCTCAGGGACGAGCGGCCGAGCGCGACATCGTTCAGGTCGGTATTTTCAGAAGCAGGTCACAGTGTTTAAAGCTGGGGTGCGTAACTTTCAGTCACTATTTGACTCTTTGGGCTGAGAGCTGTTTGGCTGAGTGAGGGTGGTCCTCTCCTTTTCACTTTTCTGTCTGAAAAAGATGTGGCAAAGACCAGAAATACATTATTTGGAAACGAGTAATGGAAGCAAACCTTTTAGGAGCTCGGACTGCAGATGCTGCTCCTTCTACACCTGTTTAATGGGTGATTCTTGTGTGTGCGCTTTTTAGGAGCAGCAGAATTTTATTACAGAGTTCTATTGTTGTAGTTTGAAAGTTACGTACCCCAGCTTTAAAATCGACCCCTCAATCTCTGCCTCCTCTTTCCTCAACCCCTCTCCCTCTTCCCCCCTCCCTCCTCTCTCTCCCTCCTCTCTCCTCCCTCCTCTCCTCAAACTCTCTTCCTCCCCCCTCTCCCCCACCCTCTCTCCTCCTCTTTCCTCACCCTCTCACCCTCTTCTCCCCCTCTCCCGCCCCTCTCTCTCCTCACCTTTCTCCCTCCCTCCTCATCCTCTCCCTCTCTTCTCACCCTCTCTCTCTCTCCTCATCCTCTCCCTCTCTCCTCACACCCCCTCCCTCTCTCCTCATCCTCTCTCTCTCTCCTCACCCTCTCCCTTTCTCCTCACCCTCTCCCTCCTCACCCTCTTCCTTTCTCCTCACCCTCTTCCTCCTCACCCTCTTCTCTCTCTGTCCCTTCCCCCCTTCCTTCTCTCTCCTCCCTCCTCTCCTCACATTCTCTCCCTCCCCCCCTCTCCCCCACCCTCTCTCCTCCTCTTTCCTCACCCTCTCTCCCTCCTCTCCCCCTCTCCCGCCCCTCTCTCCTCACGTTTCTCCCTCCCTCCTCACCCTCTCTCTCCTCACCCTCTTCCTTTCTCCTCACCCTCTCTCTCTCTCTCCTCACCCTCTCCCTTTCTCCTCACCCTCTTCCTTTCTCCTCACCCTCTTCCTTTCTCCTCACCCTCTCTCTCTCTCCTCACCCTCTCCCTCTTCTCCCCACAGTTCGTCCCGTTCAGAGACTATGTTGATCGCCGGGGGAACCACGTCCTGAGCATGGCGCGCCTCGCCAAAGAGGTCCTGGCCGAGATCCCGGACCAGTTCCTGTCCTACATGAGGACCAGAGGGATCAAACCCGGTTCTCAGGGTCCGACCTACGCATCTCTGTCCCCCCTGTCCCCTCTGTCCCCTCTGTCCCCCCTGTCCCCCCTGTCCCCCCTCCCCCACAGCCACTCCCTCACCCTGGGTCGCACGCCTCACTCCCGGGGCCTCGTCCACACGCTGCCCGGGTCACACGCGCCCACACAGCCCTTCATGGCCAGGAGAGTGAGCCGGATCTGAGACTGTGGACCAGGAAGAGGCCGGGTCTGAGATTGTGGACTTGGTTGGATCAGGTTTTAGAGTCCCTGCGGTCTTGCCCTGACGGGTCGAACGCGGGGCACATGCGGGGCGGTCTCGCACACACTGTGGACTCTCGAGGACTGGAGGAAAGTCTCGGGAACGTCGCACATTTGGGGATGGATTTACTGCATGATCCTCGTCACTTTGAGTATTTATTAATCAGGTCTGAACCAGGTCTGAAACAGGTCTGAAACAGGTCTGAACCAGGTCAGAACCAGGTCTGAACCAGGTCAGAACCAGGTCTGAACCAGGACTGAACAAGGTTTGAACCAGGACTGAATCAGATCTGAACCAGGTCTGAACCAGGTCTGAACCAGGACAAACTAGGACTGAACCAGGTCTGTACCAGGATTCAAGATTCTATGGCTTAGCACTGAGCCATTTTGGGTTATTGGATTTACCCACTACCACTACTACTACCACTACTACCACTACTACTACTACTACTACTACTAGTGCTCCTGCTACCACTACTACTACTACTACAACTACTACAACTACTACCACTACTACCACTACTACTACTACTAGTGCTCCTGCTACTACTACTACTACGACTTGTACTTCTACTACTACTGCTACTACTATATCTTTGATCCCACACAGTGTTTCTTTCTAGATATTATCACTCATATCTTGTTAATATTGTTGTAATATTGGGATGAAATGTGAAGTTTTTTTGTGATTTATATTTATACAAATCAATCACTTGTTTACTACTACTACCACTATTACTACTACTACCACTACAACTGCTACTACTACTCATACTACTATTATTGCGACTGCTGCTTCTTCTACTACTACTACTACTACAGCTACTACTCCTACTACTCTTACTACTGCTACTATTACTACTGTGACTACTACCACTGCAATTACTACCACCACTACTACTGCTGTGGTTTATATTTATACTGATCACATGTTCATCAAGTTGATTGGTGGTTTTTACGACGCATGCCGGAGCTGTAGCACTTTGTACTGTGTTTTATACTGCCGTCTGATAGGTCCGAATGGAGACCAGGGGTTTATACTGCCGTCTGATTGGCTAGATTATACAATCAGGAAGCTCGCTCACACACAATAACCACCCATTAGACTGGTGAAGAGGGAGCAGCGTCTGCCATCCGAGCTCTTAAACAGTTGCTTCTATCACTAATTTTCATATAATGTACTTTTGGCCTCTGTCACACCTTTAGATCTGCTTTTTCAGACATAAACATGACAGAGAGGACCAACCTCACTCAGCCAATCAGCTCTCAGCCCAAAGAGTCAAATAGTAACCGACAGGGCTCTTGCACAAAAGATAGCATGTATTCTAATAGTAGGAAGACAGCCTCTTGTGGACTCAATGTTATTTATGAAACTAAGCTTACATACCCCAGCTTTAATCTATTTGAACCATGTTTTAAATCCTCCTCCTTTCCACTTTATTTGTAGTCATTCACTCATGTGTGAGCTCTAAATACACACACAAACGGGCACACACATACACACGCTCTTTTTCTCACACCCTCTCTTTCTCTCACATACACACATACACACACACACACACACACATATACACACTCTCTCTCCCATGCGCCCCTGAGTGTCGCTCGCCCTCCCCCCTCCCCTTGTGTCCTGGCTCTGTACATATTGTAGATGTGCTTTATTTATGATGCGAGGCTTTTTCTTGGACATGTTTTAAAAATGAGTCGCTTACGTAACGCGCCTCAGACCAGAGCACAAACAAAAGCACTTCGCGGGACGTTAGCGCGGGAAACAACGGGAACGTATAAGACAGACGCACGCTTCGGCGAGCGCGGCGGCGGCGAGCGACTTCACATCTGGCTGAACACGCTGACAGCAGACCCAACTGTACACACAACCCCAAGTCTAACCCTTTGTATCATCGTTATTCTGTTTTCAACACATTCAAATCCAGCACTAAAGAGACAACCCCGAGGAACTGAATCACACAAGTTTCAGAACTATTTTTATTTTAATTTGATTCCCCAATACGTATTATAAAAGTCTTGTACAGACTGTGCTGATATTGCAAGTATAATTCATGTGCTGCTGGAACTCTCACAATATCCTTCATTCGATTTCACATTTTTCACAAATTCGATTTTTTCAAAAGCCGATTAATTGCCTAAATTTGATTTATTGCCCAGCCCTAACACACACACTCTCACAGACACACAAACACACACTCACACTCTCACACATACACAAGCTCTCTCTCAAACACACACTTCTGAATCTGATCCTAATACACACATTTACACGTTTCCTTGTGCTCTTACATGGGTCACTGCTGTCTCATAAGGATCCAATGGGTGTGTTATATGCAGCAGTAGAACCAGCACTGACTCCAAACACAGGCTTTTCAGTCCTCATTCGGGGAGCGTGGCTTACATGTGTGTTTGACAATCGGATTCAATTGAAGTCAAGAGTATTCATTTTTTAAGACCCTACTCATTTGTGGCCATGGAATAGCTTTGTTTTGCATACGTTAGCTTGGGGACTCTACTCTCAGCTTTCACATTTACAGCTATCAATATCCAGCTGAAAATAGATATTATATTTTTGAATTTATAGGGTTGCTTGCTCCTCATTCCTACTGCTGTTTAACTTGTGATGCAACACTAAACTTTCCCCACTGTGGGACAAATGTTTTAGTTTCCACACTTTCCATCTCTTACATTAAAATACATTGTACTTATATCATTTGACCTTCGACACGGAGCGATTTCACTGGAAAAACCTCTTCTGAGTTTGAAAACCGAGCATTTAGACAGAAGGGGAGGGGTGACATGTGTGTGAGGGGAGTTCCTGATATCAGCATGGGTGGAGCTAAAAACAGCTGCAGGTCTGATGGAACAATGTTGTAAATGTTGTTTATATGAGCCAGGGTTAAAGGCGGTGACTTACACTGTTGTATCATGTTTTATAGAAATATGTTGTTTACATTTAGCATGCGTTTCTAGGTCCTCCAGCTCCGAGGGAATGGAGATTCTGTCAAAGATGTTTACGCCGAGCTCACGTCTTCTCTCTTCTCTCTCCTCTCTCTCTCCTCTCCTGTCCTTCTCCTCTGCTCTCTCCTCTCTTCCTCTCCTCTCCTGAGGCTGAGATCGGACTACACTTCCCATGATGCACTTCTACTGCCTTAAGACTAATGTGTTTCACGGTGAGTGCATGTAAAAGTCTCGGAGAGTGGCTTTACCTGCCGTGTTGTGACGCTGCACGACCCTAAAGCACTGGATCTGATGAACTTTAATAAACAGGTTCTGAAGCAGGAGGTGTGTGAGTGTTCTTTACGACACATAATCTGTGTCCTTTAACATGGATGGGTCTAAACACAACTCCAGGTCTCTCCTCTTCTCACCTCTCCTTTTTTGCCTCACCTAAATCCTCTTCTTTCCTCCCCTCACTCCTCTCTCCTCTGTTAGATAATGTGCCTAAGAAAAGCCACGCTTCTAAAAATACTCTGTGTGAGTATTTTTAGAAGCGTGTCCCATCTCCACAAATATAACCGTGAGCGCTCGGACTGTCCCAAAGGCTGAGGGGTCACACGCGACCTGGCACCTGCCGCCTGTGGCACAAACATATAAGACTTCACATGAAAGCTTCTCTTTCCCTTTGTGCTCTATCTGCTGTTGTTTTACCCCTCCTCCTGTGACATCACTCAGTTAGAGTGGGAGAATGGCACAATAATAAAAACTTAATTTTTTTCCTCTGACCTCCTCGCTCATTCAGGTGTGTTTAAATGTACAGTATTTTAAGAGATGATGCATATTAAAGCTTGGGTATGTAACTTTCTCTCTGGCCTCTCGCTGGTCTTTCTCTGGTTTCTCTCTTTCTGGTCTCCAGTCACTCTCTGCTCTCTGTCGTCTTTCTGTGGTCTCTCTCTGGTCTCTCTTTTCAGTTTAGTTTTTTTCATTACTCTTAGGGCAGAATCAAAAAACCTGTCCCATTACACATTCAATACAATATTACAATACAAGTTACTATAACATATTTCTTACAAGTTCAACAAAATCATTCAGTTCGGTTTCTCTTTGGTCCATCTCTTGTATCTCTCTCTCGTCTTTCTCTCTCTGGTATATCTCTGTAGTTTCTCTCTGGTTTCTCTCTCTGGTATATCTCTAGTTATGGTCTGGTCTAGTTAGCAATAGGTATGAATGTAAATGAGAGAGTGAATGGATGGTGTTGATTGGGGGTTGATGCACCAGTGTGTTCGGCGACTCGCTTGATTGGAACAATATCTGAACTCTGAACATTGTAAAGCGCTTTGGGTGACCTTGGTCTGTAAAATGCGCTATATAAATAAACATTACTTACTTACTTACTTACTTACTAGTTTCTCTCTGGTCTCTCTCTGGTTTCTCTCTCTGGTCTCTCTCTGGTCTCTCTCTGGTGTCTCTATCTCTGGCCTCTCTCTCTGGTATCTCTCTCCCTGGTCTCTCTGGTATCTCTCTTTCTCTCTGGTCTCTCTCTCTGGCCTCACTCTGCTATCTCTCTCTGGTTTCTCTCTCCCTGGTATCTCTCTCTCTAATCGCTCTCTGGTTTCTCTCTCTGGTATCTCTCTCTCTTTGGTAACTCTCTCTGGTCTCTATGTCAGGATCTGCTCCCTGCTGTCTCTCTCCCTCCCCTTCTGTGTTTGTCTTGTCTCCACCTTCCTGGGCGTGGCTACTCACCTGGCTCCACTTGCCACTCATCTCCAGCTGCATAAGAAGCCTCGTTCCCAGCAAGTCGATGCCAGTTCGTTGTCGCTTCTTGTTAGTGAAACATTTATGGTCTCTGCGCTACGATTGTGATTATTTGTTGTACTTACCTCGCTTCCTGTGCGTAGATCCTGCCTGCCTGTCTGTTCCTGTCTGCCATTGCCCGCCTGCCTCTGCCTGCCTGCCTCAGCCTGCCTGCCTCTGCCTGCCTGCCTCTGCCTCTGT